TCTGCCCCCTTTATTCTATGTACCCAACGCACTAGAAGACCAGTTCTTAAAGCCTTTAGCCGTATCCTTATTCTAGTCCTCCTCTGTTCCTCTGGTGATGTAGAGGCTAACCCAGGCCCTGCAGCCCTCAGTATCACTCCTACTCCCCAGGCGCTATCATTTGATGACTTCTGTAATCGCAAAAGTCTTGGTTTCTTGCACATAAATATCAGAAGTCTACTTCCTAAGTTTGAGTTATTCACTGCGTTAGCACACTCTGCCAACCCTGATGTTCTAGCAGTGTCTGAATCCTGGCTCAGGAAGGCCACCAAAAATTCTGAAATTTCCATCCCCAACTATAACATTTTCCGTCTAGATAGAACTGCCAAAGGGGGTGGAGTTGCAATCTACTGTAGAGATAGCCTGCAGAGCTCTATCATACTATCCAGGTCTGTGCCCAAACAGTTTGAGCTTCTACTTCTAAAAATCCACCTTTCCAGAAATAAGTCTCTCACTGTTGCCGCTTGCTACAGACCCCCCTCAGCCCCCAGCTGTGCCCTGGACACCATATGTGAATTGATTGCCCCCCATTTATCCTCAGAGTTTGTACTGCTTGGTGACCTAAATTGGGATATGCTTAATACCCCAGCCATCCTACAATCCAAGCTAGATGCCCTCAACCTCACGCAAATTATCAACGAACCTACCAGGTACAACCCTAAATCCGTAAACATGGGTACCCTCATAGATATCATCCTGACTAACACACCCTCTAAATACACCTCAGCTGTCTTCAACCAGGATCTCAGCGATCACTGCCTTATTGCCTGCGTCCGTAACGGGTCCGCGGTCAAACGACCACCCCTCATCACTGTCAAACGCTCCCTAAAACACTTTAGCGAGGAGGCTTTCCTAATTGACCTGGCCCAGGTATCCTGGATGGATATAGATCTCATTCCGTCAGTAGAGGATGCCTGGTTGTTCCTTAAAAGTAATTTCCTCTCAATCTTAAATAAACATGCCCCATTCAAAAAATACAGAACTAAGAACCGATATAGCCCCTGGTTCTCCTCAGACTTGACTGCCCTTGACCAGCACAAAAACATCCTGTGGCGTACAGCATTAGCATCAAATAGCCCCCGCGATATGCAACTTTTCAGGGAAGTTAGGAACCAATATACACAAGCAGTCAGGAAAGCAAAGGCTAACTTTTTCAAACAGAAATTTGCTTCCTGTAGCACTAACTCCAAAAAGTTTTGGGACACTGTAAAGTCCATGGAGAATAAGAGCACTTCCTCCCAGCTGCCCACTGCACTGAGGCTAGGAAACACTATCACCACCGATAAATCTACAATAATCGAGAATTTCAACAAGCATTTTGCTACAGCTGGCCATGCTTTCCATCTGGCTACCACTAACCCAGCCACCAACTCTGCACCCTCTGCTGCAACTTGCCCATGCCCCCCCCTCTTCTCCTTCACACAAATTCAGACAGCTGATGTTTTGAAAGCGCTGCAAAATCTGGACCCCTACAAATCAGCTGGGCTAGACAATCTGGACCCTTTCTTTCTAAAACTAGCTGCCGAAATTGTCGCAACCCCTATTACTAGTCTGTTCAACCTCTCTTTCATAACGTCTGAGATCCCCAGAGATTGGAAAGCTGCCGCGGTCATCCCCCTCTTCAAAGGGGGTGACACTCTAGATCCAAACTGCTACAGACCTATATCCATCCTGCCCTGCCTTTCGAAAGTATTCGAAAGCCAAGTTAACAAACAGATCATCGACCATTTCGAATACCACCGTACCTTCTCCGCTATGCAATCCGGTTTCCGAGCTGGTCACGGGTGCACTTCAGCCACGCTCAAGGTCCTAAACGATATTATAACCGCGATTGATAATAGACAGTACTGTGCAGCCGTCTTCATCGACCTGGCCAAGGCTTTCGACTCTGTCAACCACCGCATTCTTATTGGCAGACTAAATAGCCTTGGTTTCTCAAATGACTGCCTCGCCTGGTTCACCAACTACTTCTCAGATAGAGTTCAGTGTGTCAAATCGGAGGGCCTGTTGTCTGGACCTATGGCAGTCTCTATGGGGGTGCCACAGGGTTCAATTCTTGGGCCGACACTTTTCTCCGTGTATATCAATGATGTCGCTCTTGCTGCTGGTGACTCTCAGATCCACCTCTACGCAGACGACACCATTTTGTATACATCTGGCCCTTCATTGGACACTGTGTTAACAAACCTCCAAACGAGCTTCAATGCCATACAACAATCCTTCAGTAGCCTTCAACTGCTCTTAAACACTAGTAAAACTAAATGCATGCTTTTCAATCGAACGCTGCTAGCACCCGCCCACCCGACTAGAATCACCACTCTCGACGGGTCGGACCTAGAGTATGTGGACAACTACAAATATCTAGGTGTCTGGTTAGACTGTAAACTCAACTTCCAGACTCACATAAAGAATCTCCAATCCAAAGTTAAATCTAGAATCGGCTTCCTATTTCGCAACAAAGCCTCCTTCACTCATGCTGCCAAACATGCCCTCGTAAAACTGACTATCCTACCGATCCTTGACTTCGGCGATGTCATTTACAAAATAGCCTCCAACACTCTACTCAGCAAATTGGATGTAGTCTATCACAGTGCCATCCGTTTTGTCTCCAAAGCCCCATACACTACCCACCACTGTGACCTGTACGCTCTTGTTGGCTGGTCCTCACTACATGTCCGTCGTCAAACCCACTGGCTCCAGGCCATCTATAAATCACTGCTAGGCAAATCCCCGCCTTATCTTAGCTCATTGGTCACCATAGCAGCACCCACCCGTAGTCTGCGCTCCAGCAGGTATATCTCACTGGTCATTCCCAAAGCCAACACCTCCTTTGGCCGCCATTCCTTCCAGTTCTCTGCTGCCAATGACTGGAACGAATTCCAAAAATCTCTGAAGCTGGAGACTCTTATCTCCCTCAATAACTTTAAGCATCAGTTGTCAGAGCACCTTACCGATCACTGCACCTGTACACAGCCCATCTGAAATTAGCCCACCCAACTACCTCATCCCTATATTGTTATTTATTTTGCTCTTTTGCACCCCAGTATCTCTATTTGCACATAATCTCTTGCACATCTAGCATTCCAGTGTTAATACTATTGTAATTATTCTGCACTATAGCCTATTTATTGCCTTACCTCCATAACTTGCTACATTTGCACACACTGTATATATATTTTCTGTTGTATTTCTGACTTTGTTTTTTTTACCCCATATGTAACTCTGTGTTGTTTTTATTGCACTACTTTGCTTTATCTTGGCCAGGTCGCAGTTGTAAATGAGAACCTGTTCTCAACTGGCTTACCTGGTTAAATAAAGGTGAAATAAAATAAAAATAAATAGAGTCTGACAAAATTCGAACTAAAAGGTACACCGCATTTAAAGGGATGGCTTAACATAAATGTATTGAAAACCCTATTGAATGAAAACTCTGTTGGCCACCAAGTGGGAGGGTTTTCAGCAGTTGAATTACATTTATTCAGCGCGCACAAGGGAACCACGCCTACAAAGCCCATTAAGCACCTTCATAAGGTAAGTCTGAATAGCAACTACTGAGAAGAGCGTAGGAAAGGCCTAGTTCACTTTGGCAGGCCTATAATATATAGCCTAATATATAGGCTGTATTAACTTCTAACTTACACATCCCTCTGTCTTCTTCACTGTTCCCTTCTTGCGCAATTCACGCATCTCCGCTGGCAACTCCACTGGCCTATCTTTTCCCCCTCAGAGCTCTTGAACGAGTAGGTTATATATAGACTATGAATATCAATATAGTTCAACTTATTTTGAGCAATTTTTTTAAACCAATAGGCCTAGGCCTATTCGAGGGGAGAAGCATCGACCGATCCTCTTGCTTGTTGAATGGCTATTAAATAGGCTACAGCGTTGGCAATGAACTGGCGGGGAAGTTTGAATGGCGAGAGCAACGTGTATAGCTCTGGTGTGATGTGATCACTTTGGCTAAATTAATACATTTCTGCACTGATTCATTGCAAATGTAAAAAACAGGCAGAGAAATAAATAAATCCATTCATTCACACAATGAAGCCACAGACCCGTCAGTGGCATTGTCCCAGATAACAATTTATACTGAACTCCCAGAATTTTTCTATATGCACAAAAAGTATATTTCTCAATTTTGTGCACAAATTTGTTTACATCCCTGTTAGTGAACATTTCTGCACCTGACAGGTGTGGCATATCAAGAAGCTGATTAAACAGCATGATCATTACACAGGTGCACCTTGTGCTGGGGACAATAAAAGGCCACTTTAAAATGTGCAGTTTTGTCACACAACATGATGCCACAGATGTTTTGAGGGAGCGTGCAATTAGCATACTGACTGCAGTAATGTCCACCAGAGCTGTTGCCAGATAATTGAATGTTCATCTTTCAAGACGCCTCCAACGTCGTTTTAGAGAATTTGGCAGTACGTCCATCCGGCCTCATAACCACAGACCATGTGTAACCACGCCAGCCCAGGACCTCCACATCTGGCTTCTTCACCTGTGGGATTGTCTGGGACCAGCCACCTGAACAGCTGATAAAACCGAGGAGTATTTCTGTCTGTAATAAAGCCCTTTTGTGGCTGGGCCTGGCTCCCCAGTGGGTGGGCCTATGCCCTCCCAGACCCAACCATGGCTGTGCTCCTGCCCAGTCATTTGAAATCCATAGATTAGGGCCTAATGAATTTATTTCAATTGACTCATTTCCCTATATGAACTGTAACTCAGTAAAAACATTGAAATTGTTGCATGTTGCTTTTATTTTTTTGATCAACAGCTTATTTTCGCATGCGAAAAGACACAAAAATCTAACCTGTTTCGAACAAATAATTGACGGATTGCAGCATGACGATATTTTGCAATTGGTTTGAATGGTGTCGTCAACAAGACATGGTGAGATAGGGCCTTTAGGGTCAACCGAGAATGTCATGAACCTTTTATGTTGTCCTGTGCAGACACACGGTGAGGTGGAGAGGCGCATCGTGTCCCAGCTCCTCACACTCATGGACGGCCTAAAGCAGCGCGCTCACGTCATCGTCATGGCAGCCACCAACAGACCCAACAGCATTGACCCCGCCCTGAGGCGATTTGGTACCATCTCTCCTGTGCACTTGTAGACCTAGAATGTAACAGTTTCAGTTCTGAGTTTATGTCGGAGGCGTCTCGTATTTGATATATCTTTGAATATCTTCATCCTATGTTGATTCTTTGTCATTACTAGCTGTGAATCAGCAGGGTTGATGTTAACAAATAAATAATATGAAATGGAATTATATGCTGGTTAGTGAGACTTACCTTGACTGTGTGACGTCTCTCTTCAGGGCGTTTTGACAGGGAGGTGGACATCGGCATCCCTGACGCCACAGGCAGACTGGAGATCCTCCAGATACACACCAAGAACATGAAACTGTCCGACAATGTGGACCTCGAGCAGGTGTGTGTGTATAGCACTACTGTCATTTACAGAGTGAGGTCTGCAATGAAACTCACCACCACCATTTTGTGTGTATGCAAGGTAGAATAAAAAGTTGGGAGTGGGTTTTCAAGTTAACTCACTGCCATATTGATTCGGTGTCTGTATCGCTACTGTATGTGTGCCCATGTCTATCTGTGTCCTCCAGGTTGCCAATCAGACTCACGGCCATGTGGGTGCTGACCTGGCCGCTCTGTGCTCTGAAGCCGCCCTGCAGGCCATCAGGAAGAAGATGGATCTCATCAACCTGGAGGACGAAACCATTGACGCAGAGGTCATGAGCTCCCTGGCTGTCACCATGGATGACTTCAGAGTAAGGAACTGGATTATTGTCTCCTTTAACACACGCACCACTCAAAGTAGCTTATACTGCACAGATAACTTTATTCACCTTCTGTTTTCCATCACTATGTAAATCTGCAGCATCCAGCAATTGTCTTTTTGCTAATGGTCTGAGGACAGCACTTTATTCTTAAGTTATCTTCCCGTAATGTGACCAGTAACCATTAAGCATTAGAACCAGTTGTAGCAGACAATCTCTTAGCCAGCAGCACTAACCGGTTTGTATGCGTGTTGTGTTTCAGTGGGCTCTAAGCCAAAGCAACCCGTCTGCACTGAGAGAGACGGTGGTGGAGGTGCCCAACGTCAGCTGGGAAGACATCGGAGGTCTGGAGGACGTCAAGAGGGAACTCCAGGAGCTTGTACAAGTAAGCCATGTTACTGATACGATTCAGCTTTATATGCCATGAAAGCTAATATGTCATTTGTTGATTTTGTATCAATAGAGTTCGAGTAAAAATGGCAGTTCAAATCTCTGGTCTGTTTTGCTTGTCTGTAGTGGGTCTTGTGACGAGTCTGAATGCTGAATCCCTTTCATAGTGAATTAACAGTTTGATTAACCTTCATGTTCTGTGCTTCTCTTCAGTACCCTGTGGAGCACCCAGACAAGTTCTTGAAGTTCGGCATGACCCCGTCCAAGGGCGTGCTGTTCTACGGGCCCCCAGGTTGTGGTAAGACCCTGCTGGCCAAAGCTATCGCCAACGAGTGCCAGGCCAACTTCATCTCCATCAAAGGACCTGAGCTGCTCACAATGTGGTTCGGAGAGTCCGAGGCCAATGTCCGAGAGATTTTCGACAAGGTAAGGCTAAACCGATTTATCTTTTTTTTTTTTTTTTTTTTTTTTTTTTTTTTTTACCGATTTATCATGGCTTTCAGATCTCTCTAACCTCAGATTTACATGTATTTGAACTGTTTTTGTATATTTGTATTGATTGTATGGCATCTCATTGTTGTGTTACACAAAGATGGTTAATAAATGTGAAACCTGGGATGTGTTTATTAGGCACCAAACAGAAGAAAACCGACTGAAACGGGAGGGACCTACCTTGACTTTTCCGTTGCAAAACCTATATTGCACCCTCCTAAACCCTCTTATGTTCCAGGCTCGCCAGGCCGCCCCCTGTGTGCTCTTCTTTGACGAGCTGGACTCCATCGCCAAGGCGCGTGGCGGCAACGTGGGGGATGGTGGCGGAGCGGCCGACCGTGTCATCAACCAGATCCTGACAGAGATGGACGGCATGTCCAGCAAGAAGAACGTCTTCATCATCGGCGCCACCAACAGGTCGGCCCTCTTAACCGCTCACTCTGCTTCACTGTTATTCTTACTCATTTCGTGTTTAACACTAGAACCGCTGGGCCTCGAGGGACCCCCCTTCAAGCTAATGAGCAGTCATTCAGACTGGAACATTCTAGCAATGTAATTAATAAATTTCATATGTGCTATCACTAAAATAATAATGTGGTTGTGTTTATGAAGGTAACATTACAATACACATTTTTTTCTTTCTACAAATAACACAATAGCATTTCTATTAGTTATTAATGCCCATGATTTTGGAATGAGATGTTCGACGAGAAGGTGTCCACATACTTTTGGTCGGGTAGTGTATATTTGAGATGCTTTTCACTGACGGCCACAACTCAATCAGCAAGACATATTGCCACGTGCGCTGCCAAAATTGTGCTATTCCCAAGTAGGCATAGGCCTACACACTTGTGATTTGAAACGATGAACAGCAATTTTTTTGGCAAATCATACATGTACGTTAGGGGAAACCAGCATCCTAATAGTGTACTGTACGCCCGCCAACTTTCCTTTCCAATTCGCAAGAGGCTTAAACCAGAGATCTGTATATAATGACGAGATGCTCATGTCTCTGCCCTAACGATGGGTGTCGTTGTCCCAAAGGCAGGAAGGCAGCCGACAAGCTTAGGTCTCCAAATGATGCCCATAGAAACACATTGGGCTTATTCTGGACAGATTTTGGTGAGAGTGAGTCCTCTCGTGTCGCCTCTTCCTCTCTGCTTGAACTCTCTCACCGGAGAACGCATCCGAGTGAGCGAAACAGCGCCCCTCTGTCTTACTATATGTAACCCATGTATATGATGCTGTCTGGCCAGAAATAGTATGACATGCCATACTATTTTGGTCCAGACAGCATCAGATACATGGTCTACACCAGAGTTCACCAACCTTTTCTGAGTCAAGGTCACTTTGAGTCAAAATGCAAGCCGAGATCTACCGCTCAGATTTTAACAACATGAACCAATTAAAAACAGTTCTGTAGCAATGAGGTTTGTGCAGTAGGCTATAGGCCCAATACATTATCACTGCATATTGGCTATGCTTGAATTGCCCTGCCAATGTTGCTCTTCTCAGATCATTTAGAAATTATATTTAAAACATGTAGGTATATGATCACACTGGTAATAGATCATGTGTTGTATTACTTGTGAGGCACAGCTAAGTGATCATAATATATATAAATATATATATATATATATATATATATATATATATATATATATATATATATATATATACATACACTACCGGTCAAAAGTTTTAGAACACCTACTGATTCAAGGGTTTTTCTTTATTTTTACCATTTTCTACATTGTAGAATAATAGTGAAGACATCAAAACTATGAAAAAAAAGTGTTAAACAAATCAAAATATATTTTATATTTGAGATTCTTCAAATAGCCACCCTTTGCCTTGATAACAGCTTTGCACACTCTTGGCATTCTCTCAACCAGCTTCATGAGGTAGTCACCTGGAATGCATTTCAATTAACAGGTGTGCCTTCTTAAAAGTTAATTTGTGGAATTTCTTTCCTTAATGCGTTTGAGCCAATCAGTTGTGTTGTGACAAGGTAGGGGGGGTAGACAGAAGATAGCCCTATTTGGTAAAAGACGAAGTCCATATTATGGCAAGAACAGCTCAAATAAGGAAAGAGAAACGACAGTCCATCATTACTTTAAGACATGAAGGTCAGTGAATCCGGAAAATTTCAAGAACTTTGAAAGTTTCTTCAAGTGCAGTCGCAAAAACCATCAAGCGCTATGATGTAACTGGCTCTCATGAGGACCGCCACATGAATGGAAGACCCAGAGATTTCTGGTTCCAACCGCCGTGTCTTTGTGAGACGCGGTGTGGGTGAACGGATGATCTCCGCATGTGTCTTTCCCACCGTAAAGCATGGAGGAGGAGGTGTTATGGTGTGGGGGTGCTATGCTGGTGACACTCTGTGATTTATTTAGAATTCAAGGCACACTTAACCAGCATGGCTACCACAGCATTCTGCAGCGATACGCCATCCCATCTGGTTTGGTCTTAGTGGGACTATCATTCGTTTTTCAACAGGACAATGACCCAACACACCTCCAGGCTGTGTAAGGGCTATTTTACCAAGAAGGAGAGTGATGGAATGCTGCATCAGATGACTTGGCCTCCACAATCCCCCGACCTCAACCCAATTGAGATGGTTTGGGATGAGTCGGACGGCAGAGTGAAGGAAAATCAGCCAACAAGTGCTCAGCATATGTGGGAACTCCTTCAAGACTGTTGGAAAAGCATTCCAGGTGAAGCTTGTTGAGAGAATGCCAAGAGTGTGCAAAGCTGTCATCAAGGCAAAGGGTGGCTACTTTGAAGAATCTCAAATATAAAATACATTTTGATTTGTTTAACACTTTTTTGGTTACTACATTATTCCATATATTCCATTTAATAGTTTTGATGTCTTCACTATTATTCTACAATGTAGAAGGGAGGGAGGGAGCAGTGGTGAGGCTGCCTCTCACCCGACTCACCGTCCTGCCTCCCTCCGCTGAGAAAAGGGGACTGTCGTCCAGCTGATGGCGAAACTCAAGTCACACTGCATTATTTCTGCCTCATGCACCAATTCATGTTGTTCTCCTATGACCAGAGAAAGTGAAATATTCCTTGATATTAAAAAGACAAGCCGCTAATAATAACAACGGAAGCTTATCGGAACACTTTGCTATACTCATTCATTGCAGCTGCAGTGCTGGTGGCTTATACAGCTTATATGGTTCATAAAGGTGTTGAATAAAGTGTTGACAGCGCTGAATAACTTAAACATGAACTTACACATAAAAACAGCAGCTCTTTGCTGTATTCGTTGAGTCTCTCTCTAGTGATGGTTTTAAAAGTTGTGTAATCTCACAATATGAACTTTGCTGTCAGCATTCAAGGCTTCTTTTTACAGTCTATGGCTTGAGGAAACTGCAGCCTCGGTGATCTGAGCTATCTGATTGGCCAGCAGTAGGCTTACAGGTGCACTTGATTTGCTCTCTGGGCCTGCCGGGTAGCCGGAGTTCTACCTTCAGACACATGAAATGGTTCAAAATCAGTCAAATAAATGATCAATTATATAAATATTTTATTTGGACGGGCAAGAAGGTATGGTAGGGCGGTCCAGGCTCCCTAAGGCCCGCCCATAACGCCGGCCCTGCTGTCTTCACCGGCGTAAGGAATGAGACACCAAAATATTCTGGAAATTCCTTGCGATCACTTTTTTTCCAGCACTTGGGCTGTTGTTGCATCGCATTCGCTCTCACAACAGCTGTTTGTCACGTCACTGTCATTTGGAAAATTCCTTCCTGGATCAGTTGATGATGATGAGTGAAAATATCACGGCGTAACTAATCAGCCCGACACCATGCGCATCCAACAAGTATTATGCATAATTATTGAAGAACCACGTTAATGACTGTATCGATTTAGGTTTTAAGTATCAAGGTATGGTGACCCTTTCGGTTAGAAGCATTCGATTTTGCAATGCATATTATTTTGGATTTGTGTGCCCATGAAAACTGTTTTCACCCCATAACATAAGGACACACGAAATGTTAGCTAGTTACACTGCATTTCTGAGCTCTCTGTACAAAAAACTGTCCGACAGTTAGATCCAGGTTTCTTACAGGGTTCAATGTCTAATTTAACTCATGAATGCTTAATATATGATATAACGACAACTTACACTGCCATAAATGCAAGGACAGAAATATAATGTTTTATGTCGCACGATTTTGGACAAATCTGTCAAGACACCAACCATGATAAAGGGTTAAACAGGTTTTAAATCAACTCGTGAATTTGATTGAATATAGCTATGTTCCCCCCTTATATCTTAATTTAATGACATGAAAAAAAAAAGGCTGATTATTATCAATGACTTATCAACCGCTGTAACAAGTTGTCCAGTGTAGGAAATCCTCACTGGTACCCTAGTTTATAGAAAGACCTTTATGTGTCTATGACCGCAGTCAAAAATAGTCAATTATTGTCAGCTCGTGCTTACATGGTCTGCATCTTCATGCAATGGCATAAGTTGGCGCATGTCCATGTTACATAAACACCGAAAGCGGGTGAGTGCGTTGCTGATCTTGTTTTTTGCTTGAGATGTAGGGCCTGCTCTCTGTGATGACATTTTGTGCTGATAATCGGCCAGTAGCATTGTCACCGGCTTCTTCTGTCCAAATGGTGCCGTCCTTTCCTCTCTCCTGTCTCACCGTTTCATTTGGTGATGCGCTTGGGCCTCAGAGGTGTATGTTCAGGCTAGATTGAATTCGGTGGATTGATATAGGGTACATAGCATTTTGAGATAATTAGAATAGATCAATACATATTTCTAGCTGGTTGCTGCTTGGTTTTACTTGCAATTATCATATGTGGTAGTCTCCCATACTTTAGTTGAATGCACTTAGTTCTTAGGTGGACAATAAGGTACTGTATAATGAGGTGTAGAATGGTTTGTATAGAAATGTAGGTTCAGTTTAATGACTAAACTGTGTGCTGTACCAGGCCTGATATCATCGACCCGGCCATCCTGAGGCCCGGCAGACTGGACCAGCTCATCTACATCCCCCTGCCAGACGAGAAGTCCCGCATTAACATCCTCAGCGCCAACCTCAGGAAGTCGCCCATCGCCAAGGCAAGCCTCTATTTATGTGTATTTGGCCATGCGCTGACATTGTGCTGACTGAACTGTTTTTCCCACCTCCTCAGTCAGCATGTTCTGGTGTGAGGGGTGGGGTTAGGGCTTATCATATGTTTTAATTCCAGGCTGGGCTTCATGTAATGGGTATTGATTGTAGAAAATGGGTTTGTGGAAAGGTTGTTGATATGGAAATTGCTGTGTGTGGGGAAACATCTATGTGTTTTATAATCCCATTACTGTTTTGATCTTTTTCTGGAAGTGGTTTTAACACTCCCTGTCTGATTATAGGATGTGGACTTGGATTTCCTGGCCAAGATGACCAATGGTTTCTCTGGAGCTGACCTGACAGAGATCTGCCAGAGAGCCTGTAAGATGGCCATCAGGGAGTCCATCGAGAATGAGATCAGGAGGGAGAGAGAGAGGCAGACCAACCCCTTAGCCATGGTGAGTTTAATCACTACTGCATCTTTATTTATTCAATGACACGGTCTAGACCAGGGGTCGGAGAAAATATAAACAAGTGATTTTTATCCCCCCCAATGTTTTTATTCTGCTGTTGCTAGCGAAATTCATAAACACATTTTGAATTACATACCTACAGTAGAAAAGAGGAGAATATCCTCTTTCTAATAATGTCCAGTAGCGGTGCGGGGGTAAAATCAATGGGGATGCCAAGCCCCCCAAAAAAGCCATGTTACAACCTGTGTTGTGATAATTGCGCTGTTTGCTCTATAACCTGTTAGTTCATTTGCCTTGCCACCGTGATACAGTATATAGGCCTAAGGCCGAGACAATAAGAAGACACAGTGGCAGAATAAATTCAACCACCCCTTTCTTTCATCAGAAAACCGGAGAGCAACATCTATCCGGTGAAGTCCACAAAGCATATTGCATGTAACAAACAGTTACATGACCTACAGCATGGTCAAGTAAGTTAATGTTTCCGACTACTAAACTATTGATTTAGAACCATGGAGAGTTACTGCAAGTCGCAAAGAAAACAGGAGCTGCCTCCACTATTTCAGCACCATTTCAACTTCAACATTTCAACATCATCAAATCACCTATACTTAGTCTAATACAGTGACTAAAAGATACCAAAAACTATTTAGTCCAATCAACATAAGCTAAATATGATGTCTGTCCATGTCTCTGATTTCTCTGTGTATGCGGCGTGCAAGTAGACAAAACATGTTGACTCACCCTACTTGTAGAGAAACACCAATGCTATCCTCCTTGCTTTCATGTTGCCAAAACGGTCTATGACTCTGTCATACAGTAAACGCTTTTCGTTTTTGTTGTCCTAGGCTACCTGGCTAAAATGCTTGCTAACTAGCCTAACTTCCTGGGCAATGATGAGCCAGCTAGTTAACATTAGCCTACTACGTCTAGCTACATATTGAACTTCCATCCTCTCAGGCCAGGGACACAATGTACAGTGAGGGGAAAAAAGTATTTGATCCCCTGCTGATTTTGTAAGTTTGCCCACTGACAAAGAAATGATCAGTCTATAATTTTAATGGTAGGTTTATTTGAACAGTGAGAGACAGAATAACAACAACAAAATCCAGAAAAACACATGTCAAAAATGTTATCAATTGATTTGCAAAACCCTTGTTGGCAATCACAGAGGTCAGACGTTTCTTGTAGTTGGCCACCAGGTTTGCACACATCTCAGGAGGGATTTTGTCCCACTCCTCTTTGCATCTTCTCCAAGTCATTAAGGTTTCGAGGCTGACGTTTGGCAACTCAAACCTTCAGCTCCCTCCACAGATTTTGTATGGGATTAAGGTCTGGAGACTGGCTAGGCCACTCCAGGACCTTAATGTGCTTCTTCTTGAGCCACTCCTTTGTTGCCTTGGCCGTGTGTTTTGGGTCATTGTCATGCTGGAATACCCATCCACAACCCATTTTCAATGCCCTGGCTGAGAGAAGGAGGTTCTCACCCAAGATTTGATGGTACATGGCCCCGTCCATCGAAACCTTAATGACTTGGAGAAGATTTGCAAAGAAGAGTGGGACAAAATCCCTCCTGAGATGTGTGCAAACCTGGTGGCCAACTACAAGAAACGTCTGACCTCTGTGATTGCCAACAAGGGTTTTGCAAATCAATTGATAACATTTTTGTTATTTTGTTATTATTTTTTGATGTGTTTTTCTGGATTTTGTTGTTGTTATTCTGTCTCTCACTGTTCAAATAAACCTACCATTAAAATTATAGACTGATCATGTCTTTGTCAGTGGGCAAAAGTACAAAATCAGCAGGGGATCAAATACTTTCCCTCACTGTAGATAGTTTTTGTACTTGTTTCCTCCAGCATTTTCACAAGGGTCTTTGCTGTTGTTCTGGGATTGATTTGCACTTTTCGCACCAAAGTACGTTAATCTCTAGGAGACAGAATGCGTCTCCTTCCTGAGCGGTATGACGGCTGCGTTGTCCCATGGTATTTGTACTTGCTTACTATTGTTTGTACAGATGAACGTGGTACCTTCAGGCGTTTGAAAATTGCTCTCAAGGATGAACCAGACTTGTGGAGGTCTACAATTTGTTTTCTGAGGTCTTGGCTGATTTCTTTAGATTTTCCCATGATGTCAAGCAAATAGGCACATAGTTTGAAGGTAGGCCTTGAAATACATCCAAAGGTACACCTCCAATTGACTCAAATGATGTCAATTAGCCTATCAGAAGCTTCTAAAGCCATGACATCATTTTCTGGCATTTTCAAAGCTGTTTAAAGGCACAGTCAACTTAGTGTATGTAAACATCTGAGCAACTAGAATTGTGATACAGTGAATTATAAGTTAAATAATCTGTCTGTAAACAATTGTTGGAAAAATGACTTGTGTCATGCACAAAGTAGATGTCCAAACCGACTTTCCAAAACTATAGTTTGTTAACAAGAAATGTGTGGAGTGGTTGAAAAACGAGTTTTAATGACTCCAACCTAAGTTTATGTAAACTTCCGACTTCAACTGTGTGTATATATATACAGTGGGGAAAAAAAGTATTTAGTCAGCCACCAATTGTGCAAGTTCTCCCACTTAAAAAGATGAGAGAGGCCTGTAATTTTCATCATAGGTACACGTCAACTATGACAGACACATGGAGAAAAAATAATCCTGAAAATCACATTGTACGATTTTTTATGAATTTATTTGCAAATTATGGTGGAAAATAAGTATTTGGTCACCTACAAACAAGCAAGATTTCTGGCTCTCACAGACCTGTAACTACTTATTTAAGAGGCTCCTCTGTCCTCCACTCGTTACCTGTATTAATGGCACCTGTTTGAACTTGTTATCAGTATAAAAGACACCTGTCCACAACCTCAAACAGTCACACTCCAAACTCCACTATGGCCAAGACCAAAGAGCTGTCAAAGGACACCAGAAACAAAATTGTAGACCTGCACCAGGCTGGGAAGACTGAATCTGCAATAGGTAAGCAGCTTGGTTTGAAGAAATCAACTGTGGGAGCAATTATTAGGAAATGGAAGACATACAAGACCACTGATAATCTCCCTCGATCTGGGGCTCCACGCAAGATCTCACCCCGTGGGGTCAAAATGATCACAAGAACGGTGAGCAAAAATCCCAGAACCACACGGGGGGACCTGCAGAGAGCTGGGACCAAAGTAACAAAGCCTACCATCAGTAACACACTACGCCGCCAGGGACTCAAATCCTGCAGTGGCAGACGTGTCCCCCTGCTTAAGCCAGTACATGTCCAGGCCCGTCTGAAGTTTGCTAGAGTGCATTTGGATGATCCAGAAGAGGATTGGGAGAATGTCATATGGTCAGATGAAACCAAAATAGAACTTTTTGGTAAAAACTCAACTCGTCGTGTTTGGAGGACAAAGAATGCTGAGTTGCATCCAAAGAACGCCATACCTACTGTGAAGCATGGGGGTGGAAACATCATGCTTTGGGGCTGTTTTTCTGCAAAGGGACCAGGACGACTGATCTGTGTAAAGTAAAGAATGAATGGGGCCATGTATCGTGAGATTTTGAGTGAAAACCTCCTTCCATCAGCAAGGGCATTGAAGATTAAACGTGGCTGGGTCTTTCAGCATGACAATGATCCCAAACACACCGCCTGGGCAACAAAGGAGTGGCTTCGTAAGAAGCATTTCAAGGTCCTGGAGTGGCCTAGCCAGTCTCCAGATCTCAACCCCATAGAAAATCTTTGGAGGGAGTTTAAAGTCTGTGTTGCCCAGCGACAGCCCCAAAACATCACTGCTCTAGAGGAGATCTGCATGGAGGAATGGGCCACACACCAGCAACAGTGTGTGAAAACCTTGTGAAGACTTACAGAAAACGTTTGACCTGTGTCATTGCCAACAAAGGGTATATAACAAATATATATATAAACTTTTGTTATTGACCAAATACTTATTTTCCACCATAATTTGCAAATAAATTCATTAAAAATCCTACAATGTGATTTTCTGGATTTTTTTCCTCATTTTGTCTGTCATAGTTGACGTGTACCTATGATGGAAATTACAGGCCTCTCTCATATTTTTAAGTGGGAGAACTTGCACAATTGGTGGCTGACTAAATACTTTTTTTCCCCACTGTATATATATATATATATATAACTCAGCAAAAAAAGAAACGTCCCTTTTTCAGGACCCTGTCTTTCAAAGATAATTTTTACAAATCCAAATAACTTCACAGATCTTAATTAATTAATGAACATGCACCCGTGGAACGGTCGTTAAGACACTAACAGCTTACAGACGGTAGGCAATTAAGGTCACAGTTATGAAAACTTAGGACATTAAAGAGGCCTTTCTACTGACTCTGAAAAACACTAAAGGAAAGATGCCCAGGGTCCCTGCTCATCTGTGTGAACGTGCCTCAGGCATGCTGCAAGGAGGCATGCGGACTGCAGATGTGGCCAGAGCAATAAATTGCAATGTCCGTACTGTGCGACGCCTAAGACAGCGCTACAGGGAGACAGGATGGACAGCTGATCATCCTCGCACTGGCAGACCACGTGTTACAACACCTGCACAGGATCGGTTCATTCGAACATCACACCTGCGGGACAGGTACAGGATGGCAACAACAACTGCCCGAGTTACACCAGGAACGCACAATCCCTCCATCAATGCTCAGACTGTCCGCAAAAGGCTGAGAGATGCTGGACTGAAGGCTTGTAGGCCTGTTGTAAGGCAGGTCCTCACCAGACATCACCGGCAACAACGTCGCCTATGGGCACAAACCCACTGTCGCTGGACCAGACAGGACTAGCAAAAAGTGCTCTTCACTGTCGAGACACGGTTTTGTCTCACCAGATGTGATGGTCGGATTCACGTTTATCGTCGAAGGAATGAGCGTTTCACCGAGGCCTGTACTCTGGAGCGGGATCGATTTGGAGGTGGAGGGTCCGTCATGGTCTGGGGTGGTGTGTCACAGCATCATCGGACTGCGCTTGTCATTGCAGGTAATCTCAACGCTGTGCGTTACAGGGAAGACATCCTCCTCCCTCATGTGGTACCCTTCCTGCATGCTCATCCTGACATGACCCTCCAGCATGACAATCCCCCAGGTACTGATTAGGTGATCACATGAACCAAATATTATTTAACGAGGAAAAGTATAAAAATCACTGCTGTGGTCATCACTATCCTCTTGCAATAGGACCAGCTGGATGGCAAAAACAGTGCTAATAGTACCTCAAAAGTAATATTAATCAAAAAATAACTATTGACCATGCCAAAAGAGTTGAAAATGAACGTTTTGTGTAGGAAAAGAAGGGTTCAATTCTGGCTTTACTGGCAGAGGGATACAGTGAGCGTCAAGTTGCTTCCATCCTTCAAATTTCAAAGACGGCGGTTCATAAGAACAAGGTCAAGCAGCAGACATTGGGGACAACAAAGCTACAGACCGGCAGAGGGCGAAAACGACTCTCTACTGACCGGGATGACCGCCAACTCATTCGAATGTCACTCAACAACCGTAGGATGACATCAAGTGACCTACAAAAAGAATGGCAAACGGCAGCTGGGGTGAAGTGCACGGCGAGTTCGAAACAGGCTCCTAGGGGCAGGGCTGAGGTCGTGCAAAGCTAGAAAAAAGCCCTTCATCAATGAGAAGCAAAGAAAAGCCAGGCTGAGGTTTGCAAAATACCATAAGGATTGGACCGTAGAGGACTGGAGTAAGGTCATCTTCTCTGATGAGTCCAATTTTCAGCTTTGCCCAACACCTGGTCGTCTAATGGTTAGACGGAGACCTGGAGAGGCCTACAAGCCACAGTGTCTCGCACCCACTGTGAAATTTGGTGGAGGATCGGTGATGATCTGTGGGTGGTTCAGCAAGGCTGGAATTGGGCAGATTTGTCTTTGTGAAGGACGCATGAATCAAGCCACGTACAAGGTTGTCCTGGAAGAAAACTTGCTTCCTTTTGCTCTGACATTGTTCCCCAACTCTGAGGATTGGTTTTTCCAGCAGGACAATGCACCATGCCACACAGCCAGGTCAATCAAGGTGTGGATGGAGGACCACCAGATCAAGACCCTGTCATGGCCAGCCCAATCTCCAGACCTGAACCCCATTGAAAACTTCTGGAATGTGATCAAGAGGAAGATGGATGGTCACAAGCCATCAAACAAAGCCAAGCTGCTTGAATTCTTGCGCCAGGAGTGGCATAAAGTCACCCAACATCAACGTGAAAGACTGTTGGAGAGCATGCCAAGACGCATGAAAGCTGTGATTGAAAATCAGGGTTATTAAGTTAAAACATTACTATTGTGTTGTTTAAAAATGAACATTAACTTATATTATTTGCATTATTCGAGGTCTGGCAACACTGCATCTTTTTTGTTATTTTGCACAGTTGTCATTTTCTGCAAATAAATGCTCTAAATGACAATATTTTTATTTGGAATTTGGGAGAAATATTGTCAGTAGTTTATAGAATAAAACAGAAATGTTATTTTTACCCAAACATACCTATAAATAGTAAAACCAGAGAAACTGATAATTTTGCAGCGGTCTCTTCATTTTTTCTGCAGCTTTATATATATATCAACACAGGAAAAATGTTTTTACTGCACTGGACCTTTTAACCAGCTAAACAACTGCTCTTATGCCATGTTTACGTGCTAGTCGGAACTAGGAAAGTGTCTACTTGCTAACTGGTTGAATGCGGCACGTGTATAACTACAACCAGTTAGTAAATCGAAAATTTTTGAGTTTCCTAGTTCCGACTAGCACGTGAACCCGGCATTAGCGTAAATGTGTTTGGAGTTACCTTTCTAGCTAATATGCTATTTTAGAGTTTACACTTCCTCTTCCAGTTATAATATGCAGAGATCCAAATAATGTAACTATCTACCAAATCTATTCATTTTAAAACGTTGACTACTTCTCCTTGCCATTATCCTTCACCTGAAAAGATAAGACGTGCAAAAAAAAATTTTTTGCTAACGTATGATGGGGGTCCCCCCTTGGTGCACACTACACAGCTGATTCAAATAACCAACTCATCATCAAGCTTTGATTATTTGAATCAGCTGTGTAATATTAGGGCAAAATCAAAACATGCACCTGGGGGGACGGGGGGGGGGGTCCCAGAACTGAGTTTGGGAAACTCTGGTCTAGACTGTTAACGTTGGTGCATCGTGAAGCCTACATAATGTAGGATCTGGGAATTTCCACATCAGGATGGCACAAAGATATTCATAATGTTTTGGATCTTCCTGAAATAAAATCCATAGAGAGGTACTTTAGGGGAAGGATGTTTGGCATAACTTTAAAGTCTGTGTCAAAAATTATTATTAACAAATAATTGATTTTGAGATTTTGGACTTACCCAGGCCTTTAAGGTGCTACAATGATGAGTCTGTAAATGCTACAAAGCCAGTCTTGGTGTCTTAATCGAGGTGTCTTGATCTCTTAATTATTAAATGACTGAGTAAATCAATCTGGACATTTATTTGACTGACATATAAACCATAAAGATTTCTATACATTATTTATACACAGGAGGAAGAGTAGAGATAATGCATTGAACCTTAAACCGATTCACACATATACCGAAGGAAGAGAAAGCGTGATGGTATTTTAAAGATATCAATTATTTATCCACCCCTATTGCCCTTGCCCCCACAGGAGGTTGAGGAGGACGACCCTGTCCCAGAGATCCGTAAGGACCACTTTGAGGAGGCCATGCGTTTCGCCCGCCGCTCGGTCAGCGACAACGACATCCGCAAATACGAGATGTTCGCCCAGACATTACAGCAGAGCAGAGGCTTCGGCAGCTTCCGGTAAGAACACGCATAGCATACAGCGGATGATGGTGTTGAATAATACTGTTAGGTAACTCTTTCTGCTCCCGTATGTCCTAGATCATTTCAAGCCTATATACACCCAGTGGGAACATTCATTGAACTTTTCTTCTTACAAAGTACATCTACTCTATATACAGCTAACAAGCCATACGTTTTACATAAGGAATGTTCTGGCACTACTAAGCTGGCTCCCCCTGATATGTACTGTACTGAACTAAACAATTACTCTCCCGTCCTCTCCTCGTCTCAGGTTCCCCACTAGCTCTGCGCCAGGCGCCGGGCCCAGCCAGGGCTCTGCTGGTGGCAGCGGTGGCACAGTCTTCAACGAGGACAACGATGACGACCTCTATGGTTAAACCGCACCATGACCCACAGTGGACCAAAACACAACCACTCGGTGGACCAAAGTTTCCTCATATACATTCTGGCAAAGCTGTACAATGCCGCAACACACACACACATAATAACACAACTAAGACAAAAAAAAAAAGCCTATTAATATTATTTACAATCCTCTCTCATAGTTAGAGATAGCATGTTGCAGCTTGTCTGTATTATGACTTTGGGGGACATGTATTAAAGTATTTCAAACCTTGTAAGGATTTACACAAGGCTGTGGGGGATTGGGTAGAGTACATCTGGCTTCTTACTAGCCACTAGTGAAGGATTCAATACTAGCCTGTTAAAGTGGGTGTCAGTTTTGCTTGCATGAAACTGAAATTTTACATTTTTGGATAGATCTTTGAATTGGGAATGAACTTCAACCATGAAACCAATACAATCTTTATTGAGTTTAATAGTGCATTAAGTGAAAAGTACAAGAAATGTGTGCATAATCAAAATGTGCTTATTCAAGTGTACCACATTAAACAATTTTTTAAACATTGAAAATATTGCAAGTACAAAAGTGAATCGTTCAAGTGTCTTGGACATTGAATGAACAAGTTCAATTAAAGAATAAATGTGATTTACATTAGTGAATTGGCAATCCTTTACTAAACTCATCTTAAACTGGTGGGGATTTTTTTTTAAATACATTTGGTAACTCAGTTCAAAAGTGATCTCTGTTAGTGCTCTTAGAATTAAATATTTGGAGAAAAATATGTATAGCCTAATATTGTAAATAAAGTATATATAAAAAAATCTAAATCAGTTTAAAACATGTCATTCTCGGGCATCATACCCAATAATGCTTGGTATGTAATTCAGGTTTGTGATCTTTTTGTTTGGGTATGTTTCTCTCCCTCACGTAGCACGGGTCGTAATAGTCCCACTCCATTCCTGAGGCCCACACACCGTTGGTGAGACCGTCGCTGTCTGCGGACAGAATCCGGAGCGAGACACCTGTAGAAGCAGATGGGTAATTAGGTATGTGAAAGGGAATCCCTTAAATTGTGGCAAATGTAATATCCATATTTCATGTATGTAATAATTTTCATACCGTATTCGACATAGCTCATTCTAATATTTCTACTACAATGCATTTTTAGTTACACTGTTTACACACCGAATATTTATATACTGGATTATTGACATGGCTCACTAATATCTACTGCTGGTGGGGATTTTTTCTTTTTATAGATTTTGGTAACTCAGTTCAAAAGTGATCTCTGTTAGTGCTCTTAGAATTAAATATTTGGAGAAAAATATGTATAGCCTAATATTGTAAATAAAGTATATATAAAAAAAAAACTTGACTTTTTCCACATTTTGTCATTACAGCCTGAATTTAAAATGGATAAAATTGAGATTGTGTCACTGGTCTACACACAATGTCAAAGTGGAATTATGTTTAGATATTTGTATAAGTATTTAAAAATGAAAATCTGAAATGTCTTGAGTAAGTATTCAACCCTTTTGTTATGACAAGCCTAAATAAAAATTGCTCATAAATTGCATGGACTCACTGTGTGCAATAAGTGTTTAACATTGACTACCTCCTCTCTGTACCCCACACATACTGAAAAAATATATACAACGCAACATGTAAAGTCCCATGTTTCATGAGCTGAAATATCCCAGAAATGTTCCATACGCACAAAAAGCTCTCAATTTGTGCACAAATTTGTTTATATCCGTTAGTGAGCATTTCTGCTTTGCCAAGATAATCCATCCACCTGACAGGTGTGGCATATCAAGAAGCTGATTAAAAGGCATGATCATTACACAGGTGCACCTTAAGCTGGGGACAATAAAAGGTCATTCTAAAATGTGTGGTTTTGCCACACAACACAATGCAACAGATGTCTCAAGTTTTGAGGCAGCACGCAATTGTCATGCTGACTACAGGAATGTCCACCAGAGCTTCTTCACCTGCGGGATCGTCTAAGAACAGCCACCCGGACAGCTGATGAAACAGTGGGTTTGCACAACTAGAATTTCTGCACAAACTGTCAGAAACCATCACAGGAAAGCTCATATGCGTGCTTGTTGTCCTCACCAGGGTCTTAACCTGACTGCAGTTCGGCATCGTAACCGACTTCAGTGGGCAAATACTCACCTTCGAATACAACTGGCACGCTGGAGAAGTGTGGTCTTCACTGATGAATCCCGGTTTCAACTGTACCGGGCAGACAGCGTGTATGGCGTTGTGTGGGCGAGCGGTTTGCTGATGTCAACGTTGTGAACAGAGTGCCCCATGATGGCGTGGGGTAATGGTATAGGCAGGCATAAGATACAGAAAACGAACACAATTGCATTTTACCAATGGCAATTTGAATGCACAGAGATACCGTGACGAGATCCTGAGTCCCATTGTCGTGCCATTAATCCGCCACCATCACCTCATGTTTCAGCATGATAATGTACGGCACCATGACGGAAGGATCTGTACACAATTCCTGGAAGCCGAAAATGTCCCAGTTCTTCCATGGCCTTCATACTAATCAGACATGTCACCCATTGAGTATGTTTGGGAAGCTCTGGATCGACGTGTACGACATCGTGTTCCAGTTCCCGCCAATATTCAGCAACTTCGCACAGCCATTGAAGAGGAATGGGACAACATTCCATAGGCCACAATCAACAGCCTGATCAACTCTATGCGAAGGAGATGTCGCCCTGCATGAGGCAAATGGTGGTCACACCAGATACTGACTGGTTTTCTGATCCATGCTCCTACCTTTTTTTAAAGTATCTGTGACCAACAGATGCATATCTGTATTCCCAGTCATGTGAAATCCATAGATTAGTGCCTAATTAATTTATTTCAATTTACTGATTTCTTTATATGAACTGTAATGCAGTAAAATCTTTGAAATTGTTGCATGTTGCGTTTTGTTCAATGTTTTCAAGCATGGTGGTGGCTGCATCATGTTTTGGGTATGCTTGTCATCGGCAAGGACTAGGGAGTTTTTTCATGAGAAAAATAAACAGAATAGAGCTAAGCACAGGCAAAATCCTAGTTCAGTCTGCTTTCTAACAGACACTGGGGGTGTTTCTCAATATGCATACTACCATGACCCACACTCTTGTGCTCTGAGTGCATTCTGACTACATTCTCTTGAGTACGTTCTTGTGAGGAGGAGAGTGGAGAACGCATAAAACAATACATTTGAGAAGCACTCGCACTCCCCCTACTGTATTACCTCATGCTGCACCTCCCCATTCACTGAACCTTCTTCCAAAAGAAGAAGGTTCATAACTATCAGCTAGCTATATGTGAATCGTAATAATGTAGCTAACCAGATAGTTTAAAACAGGCAAAAATGACCTAAAAATTATATTATGCAAGATAGATGTCAATTCTTCGTGGGGAGCTATTTGTTTGCGGCTATATGTCTAGCTAAAAGTACTAGTAGCTAGCCAGTTAGCCCTATTGACTTATGGGCTTGCGATCTACGGTACGTAGGCAGGTAACCATGCCAAAATTAACACAGCATGTATTTATTCACGTATCCATATAAAATATTTTAGTAAGGCAACATATAAGATGTGAATAGGCAACATTTCATTCCGAAGCTCAAATAATGGCCGCTTCGATTTAAAGAAATGTTGATTTTGCGTAATTCTTTACGTGGTTGCGTCATATTTATTTTCATACTTTCCGTTGAAGCTTGCATCGATGAACGCTTCAAAATATGTACAAACGGAGTACGGATTCAAGAAGTGCCCTCCGCGTTCCATTTTCGCATTGATTTGGACTCATACTCCGACCCTCCCGTGCTCCAATTTGTGTGCTCTGAGCACGGTAGTATGCATTTTGAGAAACGCCCCGGGAGACAAATTCACCATTCAGCAGGACAATAGAGTAAAACACAAGGCCAAATATACACTGGAGTTGCTTACCAAGACAACATTGAATGTCCCTGCTTACCAAGACAACATTGAATGTCCCTGAGTGGCCTAGTTACCGTTTTGACTTAAATCGGCTAGAAAATCTATGGCTAGACTTAAATGGGTGTCTAGCAATGATTAACAACCAACTTGACAGAGGTTGAAGATTGTTTTTAAAAAAAATAATAATGTGTAAATATTGTACAATCAGGGTGTGCAAAGCTCTTTGACTTACCCAGAAAGACTCACAGCTGTAATTGCTGCCAAAGGTGATTTTAACATGTATTGACTCATGGGGTTGACTAACTAAATAATCAAAATATTAGTTTTGTTTTTCTTTTACAATTGTTAATATTTTTCTTCAACTTTGACAGTATTTTGTGAAGAAAGTTGACAAACAAATTACAATTAAATCCCCCCCCCACTGCAACATATTTTCTAAAATGACATTGGAGGTGGCTTATGGTAGAGAAATGAACATTGAATTCTGGCAACAGCTCTGGTGGACATTCCTGCAGTCATCATGACAATTACACGCTCCCTCAAAACATCTGTGGTGTTGTGTGATAAAACTGCACACTTTAGTGGCCTTTTATTGTCCCCAGCACAAGGTGCACTTGTGTAATGATCATGCAGTTTAATCAGCTTCTTGATATGTCACTTGTCAGGTTTATCTTGACAAAGGCTCAAATGCTCACTAACATGGATGTAAACATTTGTGCACAACATTTCAGAGAAATAAGGTTTTTGTGCGTATGGAACATTTCTGGGATGTTTTATTTCAGCTCATGAAACATGGGATCAACACTTTACATGTTGCGTTCATATTTTTGTTCAGTGTATCATTCCTAGTGTATTTTGTGTAAATTCCTCAGGTGTATATATGTATAGATTGCATTTGGTTTACTGTTACAGTGCTATTTGGATTGTTACTTGGATTTGTTTCCGACATTTATACATTTTTACTTTTTGGATTATGTGTGTATTGTTTTGTAATTGCTAGGTATTACTGCATTGTTGAAGCTAGAAACACAAGCATTTCACTGCACCTGCGATAACATCTGCAAATCTGTGTATGCGACCAATAAACATTGATTAGACTTATGTAACTACATTTACACAACAGCTATATATGGTCTAATACAGCATTTCACAAACCTCTCCTTGGGGACCCCTAGACGTTTCATAATTTGGTTGTAGCCCTTAACTAGCTCACCTGATTCACCTACTCAAGGGCTTGATTATTGGTTGACAAGTTGATTCAAGTGTGCTAGCTGTGGAATAACTAAAATACATTTACATTTTAGTCATTTAGCAGGAGGTTTTTAGAACCACTGGTCTAGTATGCTTAACAACATCTCACCTGCACTTGCACCAAAGTCGCTGTCCAATCCAGGACCCACTGTGGAAGAGTTGTCAGATGCAACAAAGCATGAAGTCTCTCGAGGTATGCTACTGGCATATTCACATTCGAATTCAACCATATCAAACTGGTGTTCCCCTGTGTTATTCAATACATCCTGCAGCTCCATGGTGCTGCACCTACGCATGGGCCTTTGGTCAGGTGTTACCTGCGTGCATAAAACAGTCCTAAATAACATCCAAGACAGAGTTCAAGGGTTACATAGGCTAATATTAGGCTGGAACCATGAACTTACCCTTGAGTGTGGATCATATAGCGCAGGTGAATTGGGTGGCACAAGGTTAGGCCGTTCTGCCTCTGAATCACTTGACTGCGGTAGGACAGGGGCGCTTCTGCGCCAGACCATTTTATTTCTACTGTCCATGCGTGACCTACGAGGCTGGTCGACCGTGGAGGTGGTATCGGCTGTTGTCGCCAATATGGCGCTCGGCGTCCCCAGGGACTCCGAGCTACCACCGCCTGTGGCCCCATCAGGACGGATGAATCCGATCCTCTGCTCCACTACTACCCTCTCCTTTGAAGAGGTCAAGGGCTGTGCCAAAATAGCCTCTGAAACAGAGATATAAGAAGCTCTTTTCCCATCTTGATTTGGGAACAATGGCGCCTCTGATATTATGGTCACTCTCTGGCGGGTCGAGAGAGTAGACTGTAAAATACTTTCGTAGTCCTCTTGTCTTTTTCTGTTGTTCTTTGAAAAAAGGTGTAACTTGTAACCCAGGAACAAACAGTTCAACAGCAGAAGAAGAAACACGGATGGTATGAGTAAGATAATAATTAGCCTTAAATTGGTTGTTGGCAAACCATCACTCAGATTTAAGGGTGGTGTTGATGGGCCTATTTGCGACATTTCATCATACAGTTTATAGGATCCAATTCCAGAACGCATAAAATTGTGATTTTGTTCAAAACGTATCCTAATTGCGGTTCTTGTCTGTGAGAGCGCAGGTGTTTTGTGGGACCAATCAATTTCACTCTCCTGGGTCTGTGATTGAACTCTGCTTGCAGAATGACTGCTTGGACTTTGTACTTGGCGAACCCCATGGCCATTGCAGATTTGATTTTCTGCTTCAAGAGCTATTGAATACATCTCTGCATTTAAATGAGCATATTTTACCAGAAATGTAGTATTTACGTAGTCAATTCACTTTTATGCACGGACAGCCGAAAGAAGGCCTACTCGAAAATGTGCGTATAGGCATGAAATAATAACCCCAAACGCAGGTGATGAGCTTAATGTCGGCTTGCTTGATGCTTGTCTGTCCTGTAGAATAGGTGACAGATAATCAATCACATCACCCTGATCTTGCGCTCATATCCAAGCTGCCGGTGACGCACAGGTGTATAAATATTATTGCACATTGAATAAACCAAGGATTTATAATTACAGCATAACGAATTGGCCCAACCACGTTGTTTTATGGTCATTGGCATAGATAGACTTTCAATGTTATAAGTAGATCTGGCAGGTGTTTTACCCAAAAATAATCCCTGCGCTTAATGATGTGCTTTAGTTTTGATTAACTTCAGGTGTAGGGGCTTTGAATGGCAGAGATACATATATTTTATACAGGAAACCTTTCTATTCAGCCTGGTCTAATAGACTAGATGTTACATAGCAAACGTAAATCCAGGAGACTGAAATTAGTATGATATGTTAAGTTTGGTATGGTTACCTTAAGACAGGTGGATATGTGAAGGTCAAGCAACCCAAAGGTTGTAAGTTCAAAATTCATCATGGACAACTTTAGCATTTTAGCAAATTAGCAACTTTTTAACTACTTAGTACTTTTTAGCTACTTTGCAACTACTTAGCATGTTAGCTAAACCTTCCCCTAAACCTTAACCCCTTTAGCTAACCCTTCCCCTAACCTTAACCTCGAACCTAGCTAATGTTAGCCACCTAGCTAGAATTCATAACATATAGTACGGTTTGCAAATTCGTAACATATTTTACGTTTTGCAGATTCATAACATATAATACGAATTGTAATTAGTAACATATCAAACGAAATGGGTCATGGACATCCACAAATTAATACATACCATACGGAATGTAACATATAATTCTAAATGCAGTGTCTCGGATTTACAGTTGAAGTCGGAAGTTTACATACACTTAGGTTGGAGTCATTAAAACTATTTTTTCAACCACTCCACAAATGTCATGTTAACAAACTATAGTTTTGGCAAGTCGGTTAGGACATCTACTTTGTGCATGACACAAGTAATTTTTCCAACAATTGTTTACAGACAGATTATTTCACTTATAATTCACTGTATCACAATTCCAGTGGGTCAGAAGTTTACATACACTAAATTGACGGTGCCTTTGAACAGCTTGGAAAATTCCAGAAAATGATGTCATGACTTTAGAAGCTTCTGATAGGCTAATTGACATCATTTGAGTCAATTGGAGGTGTACCTGTGGATGTATTTCAAGGCCTACCTTCAAACTCAGTGACTCTTTGCTTGACATGATGGGAAAATCAAAAGAAATCAGCCAAGACCTCAGACATTTTTTTGTAGACCTCCACAAGTCTGGTTCATCCTTGGGAGCAATTTCCAAACGCCTGAAGGTACCACGTTCATCTGTACAAACAATAGTACGCAAGGATAAACACCATGGGACCACGCAGCTGTCATACCACTCAGGAAGGAGACGCGTTCTGTCTCCTAGAGATGAACGTACTTTGGTGTGAAAAGTGCAAATCAATCCCAGAACAACAGCAACGGACCCTTGTGAAGATGCAGGAGGAAACAGGTACAAAAGTATCTATATCCACAGTAAAACAAGTCCTATATCAACATAACCTGAAAGGCTGCTCAGCAAGGAAGAAGCCACTGCTCCAAAACCGCCATAAATATGCCAGACTACGGTTTGCAACTGCACATGGGGACAAAGATTGTACTTTTTGGAGAAATGTCCTCTGGTCTGATGAAACAAAAATAGAACTGTTTGGCCATAATGACCATTGTTATGTTTGGAGGAAATCGGGGTGGCTTGCAAGCCGAAGAACACCATCCCAACCGTGAAGCACAGGGGGTGGCAGCATCATGCTATGGGGGTGCTTTGCTGCAGGAGGTACTGGTGCACTTCACAAAATAGATGGCTTCATGAGGAAGCAAAATTATGTGGATATATTGAAGCAACATCTCAAGACATCAGTCAGGAAGTTAAAGCTTGGCTGCAAATGGGTCTTCCAAATGGACAATGACCCCAAGCATGCTTCCAAAGTTGTGGCAAAATAGCTTAAGGACAACAAAGTCAAGGTATTGGAGTGGCCATCACAAAGTTGTGGACAGAACTGAAAAGCGTGTGTGAGCAAGGAGGCCTACAAACCTGACTCAGTTACACCAGCTCTGTCAGGAGGAATGGGCCAAAATTCACCCAACTTATTGTGGGAAGCTTGTGGAAGGCTACCTGAAACGTTTGACCCAAGTTAATCAATTTAAAGGCAATGCTACCAAATACTACTTGAGTGTATGTAAACTTCTGACCCTGTGGGAATGTGATGAAAGAAATAAAAGCTGAAATAAATCATTCTCTCTACTATTATTCTGACATTTCACATTCTTAAAATAAAGTGGTGATCCTAACTGACCTAAAACAGGGAATTTGTACTAGGATTAAATGTCAGGAATTGTGAAACACTGAGTTTAAATGTATTTGGCTAAGGTGTATGTAAACTTCCGACTTCAACTGTACATACAGAATAATACGAAATGCTCTGAGACCAGGTTGTCCTATTTGGCACACAAACGCACATGGTGGTAAGTCTAAAAGGAATGAGTACAAGAAGCAGACAAGACTTAACACTTCAGAATCAACAACACTCTTGTCAGATGATGATGCTTCCATTCGATTCAATTTTATTGATAAGCATTGTTTGATGTTTTGCCCTCCAATCTCAAACCGTTTGTCAATGTCTGTCTCACTGTTTCTGTCTCTGTCTGTGTACCAGGGAAAAACGGACTTTCAAGACAGTGGCTGCGGTGACAATCGTCTCTGTTGTGGTAAAACCAGAGCTAGCTCTGTCTTACGTCAGAATTACGTCTCTCCTTTCCCTCATCTGCACTGATGTGAAAGAGTTGGATAGGAAAATAAATATGCCCCATAGTAGTACACATTGCTTTCACCTGTCCTGTGTTTAGCTCAATGCAGATGAAAAGAGAGGAGATCAGGAAAGGAAGCATTTTTTAACTTATTGGGATGCACGTATGGGCCCTAGAATGTGGTATTGGAGTCCTTTTAGTAGCATTTAACACTAGGTGGCAGTAGTTAACTAGGGGTGTGCTATTGTATAGACAGGTTGGTTGTTAAGCAACAAAACCAACAGGTGCACAACTATGGGGCAATACAGACGGGGTTGGCTTAGACAACATGTAAACTATATTTCATACCCAATGTTTATTGAAAACATAACGTTGCACAATGAGCACTTGTCTCTCAAATACATTGTTATGGTCATTGGTTAGCTAGCTAGCATATTTTTGCCATATTAGCATAGACGTGACATCAGTCAAGAATACTTTAAAATAAGACATGGTATCAAGAACAAGATCAAATGAGCTAAAACTAGCCACTTACGATTCCCCACATGGCAGTTTCTTGTCATTGTTGCTAGCTATCTGGCCATCAAGAATCATAACACACGGCCTTCTGCCCCTTTGAAGCGTGCACATCGTTTTCGTGACGTTGTCAGCTAACTATCTCCTCACTGCGTTAGCACACTCCGCCAACCCTGATGTTCTAGCAGTGTCTGAATCCTGGCTCAGGAAGGCCACCAAAAATTCTGAAATTTCCATCCCCAACTATAACATTTTCCGTCTAGATAGAACTGCCAAAGGGGGTGGAGTTGCAATCTACTGTAGAGATAGCCTGCAGAGCTCTATCATACTATCCAGGTCTGTGCCCAAACAGTTTGAGCTTCTACTTCTAAAAATCCACCTTTCCAGAAATAAGTCTCTCACTGTTGCCGCTTGCTACAGACCCCCCTCAGACCCCCAGCTGTGCCCTGGACACCATATGTGAATTGATTGCCCCCCATTTATCCTCAGAGTTCGTACTGCTTGGTGACCTAAATTGGGATATGCTTAATCCCCCAGCCATCCTACAATCCAAACTAGATGCCCTCAACCTCACGCAAATTATCAACGAACCTACCAGGTACAACCCTAAATCTGTAAACATGGGTACCCTCATATATATCATCCTGACTAACATACCCTCTAAATTCACCTCAGCTGTCTTCAACCAGGATCTCAGCGATCACTGCCTTATTGCCTGCGTCCGTAACGGGTCCGCGGTCAAACGACCACCCCTCATCACTGTCAAACGCTCCCTAAAACACTTTAGCGAGCAGGCCTCCCTAATTGACCTGGCCCAGGTATCCTGGATGGATATAGATCTCATTCCGTCAGTAGAGGATGCCTGGTTGTTCCTTAAAAGTAATTTCCTCTCAATCTTAAATAAACATGCCCCATTCAAAAAATACAGAACTAAGAACCGATATAGCCCCTGGTTCTCCTCAGACTTGACTGCCCTTGACCAGCACAAAAACATCCTGTGGCGTACAGCATTAGCATCAAATAGCCCCCGCGATATGCAACTTTTCAGGGAAGTTAGGAACCAATATACACAAGCAGTCAGGAAAGCAAAGGCTAACTTTTTCAAACAGAAATTTGCATCCTGTAGCACTAACTCCAAAAAGTTTTGGGACACTGTAAAGTCCATGGAGAATAAGAGCACTTCCTCCCAGCTGCCCACTGCACTGAGGCTAGGAAACACTATCACCACCGATAAATCTACAATAATCGAGAATTTCAACAAGCATTTTGCTACAGCTGGCCATGCTTTCCATCTGGCTACCACTACCCCCGGCCACCAACTCTGCACCCTCTGCTGCAACTTGCCCATGCCCCCCCCGCTTCTCCTTCACACAAATTCAGACAGCTGATGTTTTGAAAGCGCTGCAAAATCTGGACCCCTACAAATCAGCTGGGCTAGACAATCTGGACCCTTTCTTTCTAAAACTAGCCGCCGAAATTGTCGCAACCCCTATTACTAGTCTGTTCAACCTCTCTTTCATAACGTCTGAGATCCCCAGAGATTGGAAAGCTGCCGCGGTCATCCCCCTCTTCAAAGGGGGTGACACTCTAGATTCAAACTGCTACAGACCTATATCCATCCTGCCCTGCCTTTCGAAAGTATTCGAAAGCCAAGTTAACAAACAGATCACCGACCATTTCGAATACCACCGTACCTTCTCCGCTATGCAATCCGGTTTCCGAGCTGGTCATGGGTGCACTTCAGCCACGCTCAAGGTCCTAAACGATATTATAACCGCGATTGATAATAGACAGTACTGTGCAGCCGTCTTCATCGACCTGGCCAAGGCTTTCGACTCTATCAACCACCGCATTCTTATTGGCAGACTAAATAGCCTTGGTTTCTCAAATGACTGCCTCGCCTGGTTCACCAACTACTTCTCAGATAGAGTTCAGTGTGTCAAATCGGAGGGCCTGTTGTCTGGACCTATGGCAGTCTCTATGGGGGTGCCACAGGGTTCAATTCTTGGGCCGACACTTTTCTCCGTGTATATCAATGATGTCGCTCTTGCTGCTGGTGACTCTCAGATCCACCTCTACGCAGACGACACCATTTTGTATACATCTGGCCCTTCATTGGACACTGTGTTAACAAACCTCCAAACGAGCTTCAATGCCATACAACACTCCTTCAGTAGCCTCCAACTGCTCTTAAACACTAGTAAAACTAAATGCATGCTTTTCAATCGAACGCTGCTGGCACCCGCCCACCCGACTAGAATCACCACTCTCGACGGGTCTGACCTAGAGTATGTGGACAACTACAAATACCTAGGTGTCTGGTTAGACTGTAAACTCAACTTCCAGACTCACATAAAGAATCTCCAATCCAAAGTTAAATCTAGAATCGGCTTCCTATTTCGCAACAAAGCCTCCTTCACTCATGCTGCCAAACATGCCCTCGTAAAACTGACTATCCTACCGATCCTTGACTTCGGCGATGTCATTTACAAAATAGCCTCCAACACTCTACTCAGCAAATTGGATGTAGTCTATCACAGTGCCATCCGTTTTGTCTCCAAAGCCCCATACACTACCCACCACTGTGACCTGTACGCTCTTGTTGGCTGGTCCTCACTACATGTTCGTCGTCAAACCCACTGGCTCCAGGCCATCTATAAATCACTGCTAGGCAAATCCCCGCCTTATCTTAGCTCATTGGTCACCATAGCAGCACCCACCCGTAGTCTGCGCTCCAGCAGGTATATCTCACTGGTCATTCCCAAAGCCAACACCTCCTTTGGCTTTTTCTCTGAAGCTGGAGACTCTTATCTCCCTCAATAACTTTAAGCATCAGTTGTCAGAGCACCTTACCGATCACTGCACCTGTACACAGCCCATCTGAAATTAGCCCACCCAACTACCTCATCCCTATATTGTTATTTATTTTGCTCTTTTGCACCCCAGTATCTCTATTTGCACATAATCTCTTGCACATCTAGCATTCCAGTGTTAATACTATTGTAATTATTTTGCACTATAGCCTATTTATTGCCTTACCTCCATAACTTGCTACATTTGCACACACTGTATATATATTTTCTGTTGTATTTTTGACTTTATGTTTTTTACCCCATATGTAACTCTGTGTTGTTTTTATTGCACTGCTTTGCTTTATCTTGGCCAGGTCGCAGTTGTAAATGAGAACCTGTTCTCAACTGGCTTACCTGGTTAAATAAAGGTTAAATAAAAACAATTTAAAAAAACAGTCTATGGTGCAGCACGGAAACTCTTTCTACCAACAGTACTGCTCAAAACCTACTGCAACCACTGAGGATCTTGAACAGTTTATGTACTCATTACTCTGGGTCAACTGGCTGATCTGTACTTGGAGGTAGTAAGATAGCTCTCAGGCCTCATTAGTCTTCCTTGATTCTGTTGGAAGATGGAAATTGAAGGAGGCATTGCCTCGCCCAAGAGTCCTCTCCAACTCTTAATGTGAGGTTTATCTAATTTACTGTATTATGAAGTTAACTGTCTTCATAGTACAATGAACAAAAATGTAAACACAACATGCAACAATTTCAAAGATTTTACTGAGTTACAGTTCATATGAGGAAATCAGTAAATTGAAATAAATAAATGAGGCGCTAATCTATGGATTTCACAGACTGGGATTACAGATATGCATCTGTTGGTCACAGATACCTTTAAAAAAGGTAGGGAAAACAGAAAACCAACATTTCTGGGAACTTTTATTTCAGCTCATGAAACATGGGACCAACACTTTCATGTTGCGTTTATATTTTTGTTCAGTGTATATATATATAGAGAGATATATCTCTATATATCTCTCTCTCTCAATCATATATACTGAACAAAAATATAAGCGCAACATGTAAAGTGTTGGTCGAAATGTTTCATGCACACAAATTTGGTGCACAAATTTGTTTAAATCCCTGTTAGTGAGCATTTCTCCTTTGCTAAGATAATCCATCCACCTGACGGGTGTGGCATATCAAGAAGCTGATTAAAACAGCATGATCATTACACAGGTATACCTTGTGCTGGGGACAATAACAGACCACTCTAAAATGTGTAGTTTTGTTACACAACACAATGCTACAGGTGTCTCAAGTTGAGGGAGCGCGCAATTGGCATGCTGAATGCAGGAATGTCAACCAGAGCTGTTGCCAGAGAATTGAATGTTCATTTCTCTACCATAAACCACCTCCGTTATTTTAGAGAATTTGGCTGTAGGTCCAACCGGCCTCACAACCGCAGACCACAGGTAACCACGCCAGCCCAGGACCTCCACATCCGGCTTCTTCACCTGCGGGATCGTCTCAGACCAGACACCTGGACAGCTGATGAAACTGAGGGTTTGCACAACTGAAGAATTTCTGCACAAACTGTCAGAAACCGTCTCCAGGAAGCTCATCTGTGTGCTCGTCGTCCTCACCAGGGTCTTGACTTGACTGCAGTTCGGCATCGTGACCGAATTTAGTGGGCAAATGCTCACCTTCGATGGCCACTGGCACGCTGGAGAAGTGTGCTCTTCACGGATTAATCCCGGTTTCAACTGTACCGGGCAGATGACAGTTAGCATGTATGGCGTTGTGTGGGCGAGCGTTTTGCTGATGTCAACGTTGTGAACAGAGTGCCCCATGGTGGCGGTGGGGTTATGGTATGGGCAGGTATAAGCTAAGGACAACGAACACAACTGCATTTAATTTATGGCAATTTGAATGTACAGAGATACCGTGACGAGATCCTGAGGTCCATTTTCGTGCCATTCATCCACCGCCATCACCTCATGTTTCAGCATGAAAATGCACGGCACCATGTCGCAAGGATCTGTACACAATTCCTGGAAGCTGAAAATGTCCCAGTTCTTCCATGGCCTGCATACTCACCAGACATGTCACCCATTGAGCATGTTTGGATTGCTCTGGATCGACGTGTACGACACCGTGTTCCAGTTCCAGCCAATATCCAGCAGCTTCACACAGCCATTGAAGTGGAGTGGGACAACATTCCACAGGCCACAATCAACAGCCTGATCAACTCTATGCGAAGGACGTGTTGCACTGCATGAGGCAAATGTTGGTCACACCAGATACTGACTGGTTTTCTGATCCACGCCGGACCTTTTCTTTAAAGGTATCTGTGACCAACAGATGCATATCTGTATTCCCAGTCATGTGAAATCCATAGATTAGGGCCTAATGAATTTATTTCAATTGACTGTTTTCCTTATATGAACTGTAACTCAGTAAAGTCTTTGAAATTGTTGCATGCTGAGTTTATTTTTTTGGTTCATTGTATTTCACATTTTTCTCATATTGACTTTTGTGAAATGGACATGCTTATTGTAAGACAGAATAATAGTTCATGACCACTGCTGCACATGTTAAGATAATGAAACACAAAAACGTTAGTTAAAATTCAGGTATTTTCATTTATTTAACATGCTTTTCTTTGTCCATTTGTCAATTTAGAATAATACATTAACATCTGGTATAAGTTAAAGCACAAATATATACAAACATTTCAAATGATTCAGTTGAACATTTGACAAAGGAATCTCTTTTAGAGACAGTTATAACTATGTTTGTACATAAGTACACTCTTGTACACAAGTACATATTTGTTATTGTAATAAATCAATGTAAAAGTGCAGTCATATGAACACCATACAACTGGTAGAATCATTTTGCCACGTGACAATCAACTACCTCAGGTTTCTCTAATGAGTCGAATGACTCTATTGGCATACCAAGTTCCTGATATAGGCAACATAGTAAGAGTACCTCTACCCTTTTTCATTCAAGAGAAAGGCTAGTCAGTCAGTCAGAAACGTGCCCAGACACTCAGGAGTCAATTTGCCAGTTTAACTGTAAACTTTTCCCCTTGTGGCATTGTAGATGTTACATGTGCCTGTAAATAGTGCCTATAATCAAAAAAGTATATATATTGTTTAAAGATTCCATTCCTGCCATTGTCTTTAAACCAAGCACAGGGAGAAGCTGTGCTGGATTGTCATAGCACCTGGCAAGGCTGTAATTGTATTGGCTAGCTGTGGTGGTCGTTAGCACCATAGCATGTTAGCACCCAGTGAGGCTGTGTTTGATGATCTCTTTGGACTGGGGAGGGATCCTGTCAGGGAAGGCCACCTGGAACTCCACCACCAGGTCGCCACGTGTGGAGGGGGTCTTGGCGTGGGGCAGCCCCTCGCCCCTCAGCCGCCGGATGGCGCCGGGCTTGATGACGTCACTGCACGGTAGCGGCATCGTCCTGTTGTCGAGGGTGGGCACGTTGACTGTGCATCCACATAGAGCCTGGAGAGAGACAGAGAGAGGAAGACAGGATTGGTTAGTCTTCCTCCTTTTATGTTGAGAGCCTTTGGTTACATAATACAGTACAAGCAGTCGACCCCATAACATAATTAGCTGCACTTGGTACTTCTGAATGAATGTATGAAACTAACCAGGGCAATTTTCTTAAGTGAGTGTTACATCAGACTCGAATGTGGAGTATTTTCTCCCCAAAGAAAATGCTTTCCTCTGTTATGCAACGATAAGTGTTACAAATGCTATACCAGTAATCTCCTCTCTATTCTGGCTGTGAGTGTGGGTGTCGGTACTCAACAGAGTGACTGAGTGGGGCCATGGTAAGATGGAGAGGAGCTTGTTGAAGAGCCTGCCATGTCTGTGAACACTAGCATGCTAATCTGAGGAGCGTAGGATGTGGGAGTGAGTGATTGTAAGCCAGAGAGAGGAAGCTAAAGGCTGGCACAGAGCAGAGGAGTCAGTGGGGGAGCAAAGTGAAAGCAGTGTGAGGGGGCAGCTGACACAGGCTATATTTAGCTACTGCTGATGCTGCTCTCTGCATGGGCCAATGAGGTAAGTGAGGGGAGTTGTTAGTGGGCACTGCGTGTTATTGGAGGTTTGTTAGCTGGGCTAAGGACAAGGTTGGAGCAGTGGGGGTTAGCTGAGAGGGGTTCTGAATAGAACAGTGTTCTATCTACAGCCACCAATTTGAGCCATTATCCCAAAGTATGGAAGTGGTATACTTCAGTTATGCCTTGAAGCATGTAATCCTGCCTATACTGAAAGTATGGCAGTGCTGTACTTCTGCTAAGACTTACTGCATTATATAACCATATCAATGTTAAGTTGACACACAAGTTCACATGAACACAAACATACTTCTTTGAGGGTGATCTTTGCCGTATAGACTATGTTGGACCCGTCCCTCTTGTAGTGGGGGTGTTTCTTGTCCTTGAGGACGAAGGCCACGTCGGCGGGTATGTTATTGGCCGTCTCGTCACCCTCTCTGGGAAAGGTGATCTTGGTGCCCTCCTTCCATCCCTTCTTCACCACCACGTTCAGGACCTTGTCCTCAGTGCGAAGACTGTGGCCGTCCGGGTTGAGGCGGCGCCGCGTGATCTTCATGTGCTTGGTGCAGCCATGGAACACCTCTTCCAGGGTCAGCAGGAGGTCATGCACCACCGCCACGCCCTGCAGACGCCGACGCCCGCGCCGAAGCTTCTCACCGTTGGGGCCGTAGTTACCATGGTGACCATCAACCTTGCTGAAGGTGAAGCGGTTAAAGGGGTTGAAGAGCTCCTCCTCGCCGTCGGGCCCGAAGAAGATGTCGAAGTGGTCGGAGCCCTGGAAGAATGTTGAGAAGGTGGCGTGGGCGTCGCCGTGGTAACTATAGTGATGGGGGTTGTTCTCTTTGCCTGCCATGGACACACCGCCTCCATTCTTAAGACCTAAGACACAAAAGAAAAAAGACAACTTCAGTTAGTACAGTTCACTCAAGCAGAAGTGTGATCTTCCATCTTGTCTAATCCTGTATTATTCTCCCACTCTGAGACAAAGTTCTTACTCGTATATTTAGCTCAACACTTCTAGAGGGCTTACAAATTTTATATTTGGCACTTTGAAGTTTGAGAAACACTTTCTCGGTTGCTGGCTGACTAATTTATCAGCCTGTAGTCGTCTACACTGCATGTGTTGGGCTGGCTCTCAGGGGGACCAGGTGCTGTAGATTTTTTGCTAGATGCAACAGCACTTGCCGGTCAAATGACAAAGGGAAAGAAGGAAAGGCTCTCACCTTCTTCTCCGAACTGATCGTAGATGACCCTTTTCTTGGAGTCGGTCAGAATCTCGTAAGCTTCTGCAATCTCCTTGAACTTGTCCGCGGCGTCCGCAGCGCTGTTCTTGTCGGGGTGAAACTTCAGGGCCATCTTCCTGTACGCCTTCTTGATGTCATCTTCGTTGGAGTCAGACTCGACGCCCAGGACCTTGTAGAAATCCTTCCCCATAGGCTTGGACAGAACGGGAACCTCTTGGTCCTTTTGGTTCTCCTGGAGAAACAGGGTGGGAGAAGGAACAGGTTAGATCTCTACTGCACACAGAATAGCCAAGTTTTAAAAGGACAAATGCCTTTGCCTCAAAGAAGCCTTCAAAAGCCAGAGCTGGATGAGATGTGGTAGAAAGAGAACTAACTCCCTGTGCTGTGGGCTATAAACTTCAACCACTCCTTATAGCGCTCTCTCACTGCCATGTCCATGATAATGTATTGCCAAGCACCCGGCAGCTTTATGACACCCAGCAGGTGTGACATTCAACAGTCACCTATGATTATCAGCAAGCCTTCTGTGCTAGTACCAATTTCAGAAGACAAATACTTGGAATTGTCACTTGTCAGCCCTTTGAATACAAATGACCACTACTTATTATTTATTATTGCATTCAGCCTTTGAAAACAGTATTGTATGAAAACCAGCCTATGGCAAATGCAATTCAGGCCAGATAAGTCTTCTAGACTTTAATGCAGATATGTCTGTGCATCTAAATGCAGGCAACGTGACTATAGGGGGAACTCGTGTGTATGAACATCTTGAGGCAGACTGCACCTCCCACCACAGATGCCGGCTGAGCCCCGATTGGCTTAACTAGGCTATACTGTCTGCATTGGAATTAGGGGTACTAAGGTTACTGGAGAACCCGTTGACATTGTTGAAAATGCTCACACACAGGGTGTATAAGCTTTAGAAATATATATTATTCCTTATTTTACCAGGTGAGTTGACTGAAAATACATTCTCATTTACAGCAAAAGGAACATTCAATATTTGACACATATCTATGCTTTAATCCGAGAATATTCTCAGCAATTAAACCACTAGTCTTTAAACTCACTGTCAACTTTTTAATGACACAACCATAAGCACAATTTATGACAACACACATGAGTTTAACGGACATGGGCTACTTGCATTTGATAGAATACATTCAAATTAGTAAATTACTGAAATTAGACACATTTCAAAAATATAACTTACCCCTGATGAAGAGCCCGAGCTGTCATTCCTGTTCATAACGCGGACCTTGCACTTTACATTTTTGGTTTTCACTCCAAACTGTGTCCAGATCAGAACCATAGTGTTCGCTTATTGAGGAGCTGTCCGCTGTTCTGTGGTGCTGAAAAGCTCTATTTTAGCTGTGGTTGGGCTGTTGGTTGACTGAGAGGCTGACTGCAGACTGTGCTAAATACTGCCGCGGCAGCCCTTTACTATACACTCACCACCCACGCAGCGTGACCGAGCTTTCCCCAAACTCGCCCATTTTCCTACGCACAAGAGGGAATACCGTGCCTACCGATTCCTCCGCGAGACCATTGGCGTTCGCAGCATGATCATGCGGATGTAACAGCCTCCTTCTCCTTGTTGAGACTCGTTTCCGGAATTCTTAGCAGAAAGCTCACGAGCAGTCACGACCTGTGAGTTGAATACTCAGGGCCGTCTAGGGTTGCCGACTGAAGACTAACAGTTAGACATCCCTAGAGGCTATGTAGCAGAGTTTCTCAACTCCACGATGTACAATGGAGTTGAGTGGCATGTGGGCGGACTGCACCTCTGACTACATCGAGCTGCTGCCAGTCAAGAAATTGACATTTTTACAAGTATCAACTGACAGTGATTTGATAAAGTCGGAGGTGCAGTCCGCACACACTCGTCCTCACTCAACTCCATTGTACTTGTAAATCGTGGAGTTGAGAATCTCAGAGGCTATGCATGTGATCCATTCTTCAGAAAAATCCATCTTCATTGTTTTTTAATCAATTACTCATATATATATATATATATATATATATATATATATATTATTTATTTATATAAATAAATAAATAATATGGTCCTCTGAAACTCAGTTGGTAGAGCATGGCACTTGCAATGCCAGTATAGTAGGTTCGATTCCCAGGACCATATGTAAGTAAAATGTATGCACTACTTTACTGACTATTGTTCCCCTTGGGGACATTTTGTTGCAGTATCATGTACATGCATGACTGTAAGTCGCTTTGGATAAAAGCGTCTGCTTAATGGCTTATTTTATTATTATTATTATTATTATTATATTTGTTAGGGGAGCAGATGAGGAGAGCTCACAGTATTGTGCCGTCATGCATTCTCAATCTACTTCATAATAGTGTTTATTTGAGGTTCTGTATTCCCCTGGTTGTTAGATATTTGGTTAGATTTTATAGGAACAAAGTATGGAATAGAAATGGACTGATGATTGATTCAAGAGAACCTTTGTGAGTGAGTCTCCTGCAAGATTAGTTTTGTCTAGCAGTGTGCATTGTATAGTGTGGACATACACTACAGTTGAAGTGAGGACCTGCGTTGTGTACCTCAGTATATGGTTATGGAACAAAAAGCGGACATACATGGCAATGCTTCCTCTTCTATGATGCTCACCACAGCCAATGGGAGAGATGGATTCTCCATCTTCCAGTGGATTCTCCCAGTCACTCCAACAGGAAATGGAAGACAAATTTGGTCTGAACATGGAGAGTCAGGAGCGTCACTGGCTCTGGCTGGAGTAGAGCTCCACTACAGCAGAGAGATGGTTCTAGAATGTAGTGAATCAGAAGATTCTGTTCTATTCACAGTATTCTCAGCCTTCTCACTCTCCCTTCCGCCCACGGGAACATTGGGACTGGTGAGACTTTGAGCTCGCTATTTCTCTCGCCTTTCTTTCTCTACACACAGAGGAAATCACAGTTGTGAATGTCTGTCCTGTCACACAGACTATGGCTGGAAGAGGACGACAGGGGGGACAGCTCCCGTGCCAAAGTGTACCAACAATACACACAGACAAACATGCAGAATTCACACACTCGCATGCAGTCACACTTCAATACTTTATTTAGATCCAATTAGCATTGTCATTATCGCATGCTAGGGGCTGTATTGCCACTGGTCACCTTGTGGCCCATGGAGTCGACATGTGATACAAAGACTATTATGCACACACACACATTGTTGTACAACACAGAATTGTACACCTTTATTCTAGTCTGTGATTTGCTTGAGGGCTGATGTGTCCTGTTGATGTTCAATTATTATCGAGGCACCTGTATGCAGTTTCAAATAATCATTATTTTCAGATTTATTCCTTAATATTTACAATTCTAAAGGGTTAACAATTGAAATCGATATGGCTGAACAGTCTAGCATTGTCATGTTCGTTGATTGACGGGATGGACCAAGGCGCAGCGTGATATGCATACATGTTTATTTGAACCGAATAAACAATGACAAAACAACAAATGAAATGAAACGTGAAGTCCAAGGTACACAAACAACATAACCACACCCGGAACAAGATCCCACACACACTAGTGCATAGAAATACCTAGTAATCCAAACAGAGAACACGACCTACACCCCCCTCCCCTTTGGAACGACCCCGCCACCACCGATTCTACCCTCCCTGTTTGCCCCTTCCAACTGACCTCCGCCTGCTCCCCCCTCCCCTCCCCCCAAAGGTGCGGACCCTTCCGACCGGACAACCTTCTACTTAACAAGGTAGGGGGCCGTGTGGGGGATTCCTGGCTCGGGTGACCGTGACCATCTACTCCTCTGTCTCTCTGCCTCCCTGATGGATCCGCTGACCGGGATCTGAGTCTGGACCTCGGCGCTGCTCTTCCTCCTCTCCGCTCCCATTACTCCAACCCCGTCTGGACCCTGGTGTGGGAGACCCCGAACCTGGAGAGTGGGCTGACGTCTGGTCTGGACTGGAGCCGCTGACCGGAGCTGGACAGGCACCGGTGGAGCGGACTGCTCGGCTCCGGACGGCTTGGGCGGACGCCAAACCATCGGGCATTGGTGCGCTGCGAAGCAGGAACAGGCCGGGCCGGGCTGGCGACGCGCACCACTGGCTTGGTGCGAGGGACAGGAACAGGCCGGACCGGGCTGGCGACGCGCACCACTGGCTTGGTGCGAGGGGCAGGAACAGGCCGGGCCGGGCTGGCGACGCGCACCACTGGCTTGGTGGCGAGGGACAGGAACAGGCCGGGCCAGGGCTGGGCGACGCGCACCACTGGCTTGGTGGGATGGGCAGGAACAGGCCGGGCCGGGCTGGCGACGCGCACCACTGGCTTGGTGCGAGGGGCAGGAACAGGCCGGGCCGGGCTGGCGACAGCGCACCACTGGCTTGGTGCGAGGGGCAGGAACAGGCCGGGCCGGGCTGGGGACGCCGCACCACTGGCTTGGTGCGAGGTGGCAGGAACAGGCCGGGCCGGGCTGGCGACGCGCACCACTGTCTTGGTGCGAGGGGCAGGAACAGGCCGGACCGGGCCGGCGACGCGCACCACTGGCTTGGTGCGAGGGGCAGGAACGGGCCGGGCCGGGCTGGCGACGCGCACCACTGGCTTGGTGCGAGGAGCAGGAACGGACCGGACCGGACTGCGAAGGCGGACTGGAGGTCTGGAGCGGAGAGCTGGCACAACCCGTCCTGGCTGGCTACCCACTTTCGCACTACACGTGCGGGGCGCTGGCACAGGACGCACTGGGCTGTGCACGCGTACTGGCGATACAGCTCGTAGAACTGGCGCAGGATATGCGGGACCGAGGAGGCGTACTGGAGACCAGGAGCGTTGAGCCGGTACACCCCGTCCTGGTTGGATGCCCATCTTCGCACGGCACGTGCGTGGTGCTAGCACAGGACGTACAGGACTGTGCCGGCACACTGGCGACACAGTACGTAGCTCCGCATAACACGGAGCCTGCCCAGTCACACGCCTCCTCGCGTGAGTACAGGGAGTTGGCCCTGCTCTAACGCTAGGCTCCGCCAACCACCCTTTTAGCCCCCCCCAAAAATTATTGGGGCTGTCTCTCGGGCTTCCTCCTCGACCGGCGTCCTCTGCGTTGCCGCTGCTCCTCTCTATTCCGCGCCTTCACTGTCTCCTCCCAAGGACGGCGATCCATCCCGGCCTGAATCTCCTCCCAAGTCCAGGATCCCTTACCGTCCAGGATCTCCTCCCAGGTCCAGGCTGTCTGCTCCTGGACACGCTGCTTGGTCCTCGTTTGGTTGGATCTTCTGTCACGTTCGTTGATTGACGGGACGGACCAAGGCGCAGCGTGATATGCATACATGTTTATTTGAACCGAATAAACAATGACAAAACAACAAACGAAACGAAACGTGAAGTCCAAGGTACACAAAACAACATACCTCACACGGAACAAGATCCCACAACCCACTAGTGCCAATACGCTGCCTAAGTATGGTCCCCAATCAGAGACAACGAGCTACAGCTGCCTCTGATTGGGAACCACACCGGCCAACATAGATCTACACATAATAGAACACCAACATAGAAATACACAACATAGAACATACACACCCTGACTCAACATATTCGAGTCCCCAGAGTCAGGGCGTGACAAGCATAGCGTGTGGCTCAGTTTGTAGAGCATGGTGCTTGCAACGCCAGGGTTGTGTGTTCGATTCCCACGGGGGACCAGTACGGGGAAAAAGTAGAAAAATGTATCCACTCACTACTGTAAGTCGCTCTGGATAAGAGCGCCTGCTAAATGACTAAAATGTAAATGTAAGGAACCTTCGTTAGGGTTTTTGTTTCCTGTTAGGCCTCCTCTCCCATAAATGTTTTTTTTTCCCAGTGATGTTTCAACGTCACCTGAGACGACCGCTGTCCAGGGTTCTGAAAGCTCAAATCTCCACTATTTGCTTGTTGTTTACATCAGACTTGCTGTGGACTGAGTCACCACAGCACTCTTTACGGTGCCTACCAAAATGATATCACTCGTATTAAATTTTTCTAAAATGTCTGACTTTAAATCATAGTCTCGGTACTGGTACCCATGTATATAGCCAAGTTCTCGTTACTCATTGTGTATTTATTTATTGTGTTATTATTTTTCTATTGTAACATTTTTGTCTCTGCGTTGTTGTAAGTAAGCTTTTCACTTAGTCTACACCTGTTTACGAAGGATGTGACAAAGATAATTTTATCATGGCTAATGAGAAACTGAAAACGTGAATATTAATGTAAAAATTAATGTTAATCTTTCTTCCTCTGATCAGTGTTTAGACCTATGACCGATTATGGTGTGTGTGTAAAAACACGCCACTTCGATACAAGTGACTTTTCATAGCAGGTTAGTTGAGCATTTTCACCAACCCCAACCCTTTTCCTAACCTTAACCTAATTCTCCTAACTTGCTACGTTAGTTCTCCTAACCTGCTGTGTATATTCTCCTAACCTGCTACGAAAAGTCGTTGCTGTATCAAAGTGGCAGATTTTTAGGAAGTCCTGTGTGTGTGTGTGTGTGTGTGTGTGGCAAGTGCTATCCTTCACAGGTTCAGCTCAGTCCACCACCTTCCCCCATGCTCATGTGGGAGTAGTATGTAGTGCTGGATCCTTGAGGCGGTGAGTCACATTGCTGACAGTACATTCAAAAAGGAAGTGACACTAAGTGACACTTCATCCCACTGTCACAGACTGTCTGTCAGTCTATTCAGTCACTGAAAGATTACAGAGTCCAGTGTAAATTGGTGTAGATCAGTAGTGTGTAGAATGGAGTAGAGCAGGGTTTGACAACTCTAATCCTGAAGTATCTGCTGGGTTTTCTCTTTTGCCTGTTGATCAGTTGATGTCACTGAGTTTTTCCTAGCCACTGTGCTTCTGCCCCTGTATTGCTTGCTTTTTGGGGTTTTAGGCTGGGCATCTGTAAAGCACTTTGTGACAAATGCTGACGTAAAAAGGGCTTAATAAAATACATTTCATAGATTGAGTGCAGAGAGTTTGTCTAGTTTTCCCAGTCTAAATCAGTCGCTGATGTTTCTCACGTGTGAGAATGAAAAGCAGCAAACACTGTGGTCCCTGAGGAATCAGATCAGAACTACCCATCCCTAGAGCCTGTGTGTTTAAAATAGTCCCCAGGGCTGTGTTTTTAATGAGCGTGAAGTTCAGGAAATGGGGAGAGTGTCGAGGATGTGCGGAAGAGGACTAGCAAGAAATTCTGTACATTTCTTTGATCTCCTCGGCCAACACCTCGTCTCCTTCCCCCCCTATCCCCCTCCCATCTCTCACCCTTTTCCCCGGTCTCCTTCAGCTGTCACATGTCTGGGAGTGTGACTCTGTCACAGCAGCTGGACTGTGTGAACGTGTATCACGGTTTAACACACACAGACCCACAGACACACACACACAGACTTTGCATAGTTCATGCAGTCACATCACGCCTGATATTGGGAGGAGGACTGGTGCAACAAAGAGAAGATCGTGGACACGTTTCAGAGAATCTTTTATAAATGTGTCTTCACATCTCTAGGCAGGTTTCCATTGACCCAGGTGTATTCAACAAAAGCAATGTCGCAAGAAAACGACATTGCAACGTGTATTGGAATCGACAGATAAAGGTGAAATGTTCAAAAGATAGACAACATTTTTATCCATTTGAAGGGTGGATTTTTATTTTGCCTATCTTTCTTTATTGCGATAAATGATGATTGCTGAATAGTTAATACATAATAAAGGTACGTGGGGCACGTGATGTCATCACGTAACTATAAAGATTCACTCCACATTCAATTCTAAATGCCTACTGCTTGCGAAATCTTTTTTCTTTACTATAACAATTGGGTAACATTTGACACCCAGCATCATAACACGTTATGACATGGTCATCACCAATGTTCCGTCATATTTTTTCGGCACTGAGCAAATTTCAGGTCTGCTGAGCGTAAACTTGAACTTTGTGAAAATTCTGTGCAACTTCCAGCGCGCATTTACTGTGAACACTGAGGCTGTACACACTTTAAGTTACAGTTTTAACAGTGGCCAAGTAGGCTACTGTGGTTATTTGATCATAATGTAGGCCTACCAAAGTGGCCTACCATCAAAAACAATGGAGAAAATGCATCCCATAGCATTTTAACATGGAAATAGCTGTTCTATCACCAGGCCTACAGTAGCAGCCAATGTGTGGTGTTCAATGTAGGCCTACATTCCCTGAGACTTTTGAAAAAAAACATGCAGGGCTTGACATTAACCTGTTTATCCACTTGTTCTTCAGACAAGGAGGTGACTGAAAATGTTGTTGTGTTGTTTGATGCAAGAAACCACTTTACAAAATAAAATGCATTATTATTCCCATACCATTATTATAGAGAATCAGACAAATTATGCTACCCTCAGACTATTGGCTACTTAGCTTATTCAAGCATGTCTCAAAATACAACACTGCCCCTTTTTAAGACAAACTCTTTACCTGACTTGCTTTTCAAAGATGTCTAGAAATGTACACGTTTTGTGCTCTTGTAGGAAGCAATCACGCCCCTATTCCTGACTACAAATTATTAAAACTGGGCCAATAACTCACTAACTAGCAAAGGATATATATATTTTTTGTATGTGGCTACATGCAGCTTGTCACGATCGTCATAAGAGGCAGACCAAGGCGCAGCGTAATATGCGTACATCTTTTAATGAGTACTTAATACATGAACAACAAAACGATACGTGAAGTCTACAGGTTCACCAACACAAACCTATACAGAACAAGATCCCACAATGAACTGTGCCAAACAGGCTGCCTAAGTATGGTTCCCAATCAGAGACAACGAGAATCAGCTGCCTCTGATTGGGAACCACCCTGGCCAACATAGAAAACACGAACTAGAACGAAACATAGAAAATACAACATAGACACTACACACCCTCGCTCAACATTAAAGAGTCCCCAGAGCCAGGGCGTGACAGTACCCCCCCCCCCCCCCCCCCCCCCAAATGCGCGGACTGCGACCGCGCCAACCAAACTCAAGAGGGTATGGGCCAGGTGGGCATTGCGCCTCGGAGGCGGATCCGGCTCCGGGCGTGACCACCACTCTTTCGCTACCCCCCCGTAGCGCCCCTGGTCTGGTCCCGCTGGCCGGAGCTGGACTGGACACCGGTGGAGCGGATTGCTCAGGCTCCGGTGTGGAGCAGCTGACCGGTGCCTGACCAGGCACCGGTGGAACAGGCACGGGCTGTGCCGGACTGACGACGCGCACCACTGGCTTGGTGCGGGGAGCAGGAACGGGCCGGACCGGGCTGACGACGCGCACCCCTGGCTTGGTGCGGGGAGCAGGAACAGGCCGGACCGGGCTGACGACGCGCACCACTGGCTTGGTGCGGGGAGCAGGAATGGGCCGGACCAGGCTGACGACGCGCACCACTGGCTTGGTGCGGGGAGCAGGAACGGGCCGGACCGGGCTGACGACGCGCACCCCTGGCTTGGTGCGGGGAGCAGGAACAGGCCGGACCGGGCTGACGACGCGCACCACTGGCTTGGTGCGGGGAGCAGGAACGGGCCGGACCGGGCTGACGACGCGCACCACTGGCTTGGTGCGGGGAGCAGGAACGGGCCGGACCGGGCTGACGACGCGCACCACTGGCTTGGTGCGGGGAGCAGGAACGGGCCGGACCGGGCTGACGACGCGCACCACAGGCTTGGTGCGGGGAGCAGGAACGGGCCGGACCGGGCTGACGACGCGCACCACTGGCTTGGTGCGGGGAGCAGGAACGGGCCGGACCGGGCTGTGGAGACGGACTGGAGGTCTGGAGCGAAGAGCTGACACAACCCGTCCTGGCTGAATGCCTATTTCTACACACTCTGTGTGAGGCATCAGCACAGGACGTACAGGGCTGTGCACTCGTACTGGCACTACAGCACGTGGCACTGGCGCAGGATATCCGGGACCGAGGAAGGGTACTGGAGGCCACGAGCTTTGAGCCGGCACACTCCGTCCTGGCTGCATGCCCACCTTCGCACGACACGTGCGTGGTGCTAGCACAGGACGTACAGGACTGTGCCGGACCACTCGCGGCACAGTACGCAGCTCCGCATAACTCGGAACCTGCCCAGTCTCACGCTGCCTAGCCTGAGTACGGGGAGTTGGCTCTGCTATACCTCTAGGCTCCGCCAACCTCCCTTCCAGTCCCCCAAACCTGGTGGCCTCCTCTCCTAATCCGCCGATACGTCCTGTAGCTGCCCCCAGCATCCCCGTCGTCCATGCCGTGTGCCCCCCCCAAAACATTTCTTGGGGTTGCCTCTCGCCTGTCCGACGACGGCACTGTTGGCGCCGAACCTCCTCTCTCGCCAGGGCCTTAACTTTTGCCCATGGCCCTCTGCCCGCAAACATGTCCTCCCAAGACCACCATTCGCCCACCTGGGACATCGCCAACTTCTCCAGTTCCTTACCCGGCGTTTGCTCCTGAACACGCTGCTTGGTCCTTCTTTGGTGGGATCTTCTGTCACGATCGTCATAAGAGGCAGACCAAGGCGCAGCGTGATATGCGTACATCTTTTAATGAGTACTTAATACATGAACAACAAAACAACAAAACGATACGTGAAGTCTACAGGTTCACCAACACAAACCTATACAGAACAAGATCCCACAATGAACTGTGCCAAACAGGCTGCCTAAGTATGGTTCCCAATCAGAGACAACGAGAATCAGCTGCCTCTGATTGGGAACCACCCTGGCCAACATAGAAAACACGAACTAGAACGAAACATAGAAAATACAACATAGACACTACACACCCTGGCTCAACATTAAAGAGTCCCCAGAGCCAGGGCGTGACACAGCTCTTGCTTTGATCTCAAAACAAGCTCATCTAAATAAATAAAAATAAATCTACTCACGACCACAGCTGTAAACACAGTCCTGTTCAAAGTAAATGGCACAGATCCATATATGGCAATGGTCTATTTGCATATAGGCCTACTGCAGCTCTGATTGGTTAAACTGGTCTGTGTAGAGTATGGTCTGAGTCATGCACAATAGAATCCTACTCCGATGAGTTCTGCCTACAACAAAATCTTTTGCATAGTTCATTTTGTTTCGGTATGTTGCATTGAAAGTGACTAATTGATTAACTGATTATTTTACTATTGCCACAGTAAAGGGAAACGTTGATAGTGTTAACTAACAGGGAAAGCTCTAGAAAGTTGAGTGAAGTTCAATCTTGTGCTTCTCTCCATGGGCTGATATTTCTGATGTGCTCTGCACGGCAGTCCCGGGAGCTGCACGGCAGTCTAGGGCTACTGCGCGCAGCTTGGAGGGAACGTTGGTCATAACCGTGTCATAATGTCATAACAGCTGACATAACTTGTTATAACCTGTCATAATATGGGCATAACACTGTCATGACCCATATTTACACTTGTTGTGACATTGTGTTATTTTATGGCTGGCTAAGACACCTACATACAGTGCATTCGGAAAGTATTCAGACCCTTGACTTTTTCCACATTTTGTTACGTTACAGCTTTATTCTCAAATGGATTAAATTAAAACAAATCTTCATAAATCTACACACAATACCCCATAATGACAAAGTGAAAACAGGTTTTAGATATTTTGCAAATTTATAATAAATAAAAAAACAGATACCTTTTTTTACATAGGTATTCAGACCCTTTGCTATGAGACTCAAAATTGAGCTCAGGTGCATCCTGTTTCCATTGATCATCCTTGAGATGTTTCTACAACTTGATTGGAGTCCACCTGTGGTAAATTCAATTGAATGGACATGATTTGGAAAGGCAAACACCTGTCTATATAAGGTCCCACAGTTTACAGTGCATGTCAGAGCAAAAACCAAGCAATGAGGTTGAAGGAATTGTCCGTAGAGCTCCGAGACAGGGTTATGTCAAGGCACAGATCTGGGGAAGGATACCAAAACATTTCTGCAGCATTGAAAGTCCAAGAACACAGTGGCATCCATCATTCTTAAATGGAAGAAGTTTGGATCCAGCAAGACTCTTTCTAGAGCTGGCCTCCCGGCCAAACTGAGCAATCGGGGGAGAAGGGCCATGTTCAGGGAGGTGGCCAAGAACCCGATGGTCACTCTGAAAGATGAACGGAGCAAAGTACAGAGAGATCCTTGATGAAAACCTCAGACTGGGGCGAAGGTACACCTTCCAACAGGACAAAGACCCTAAGCACATAGCCAAGACAATGCAGGAGTGGCTTCGGGACAAGTCTCTGAATGTCCTTGTGTGGTCCAGCCAGATCCCGGACTTGAACCTGATTGAACATCTCTGGAGAGACCTGAAAATAGCTGTGCAGTGACGCTCCCCATCCAACCTGACAGAGCTTGAGAGGATCTGCAGAGAAGAATGGGAGAAACTCCCCAAATACCGGTGTGCCAAGCTTGTAGCGTCATACCCAAGAAGACTTGAGGCTGTTATCGCTGCCAAAGGTGCTTCAACAAAGTACTGAGTAAACGGTCTGATTACTTATGTAAATGTAATATTTCTAAAAACATGTTTTTGACTGTCAGTATTGGATATTGTGTTTAGATTGATAAGGGAAAAAAACAATTTAATCCATTTTAGAATAAGGCTGTAATGTAACAAAAAGTCAAGGGGTCTGAATACTTTCCGAATGCACTGTATAGTGTATCTGTGATCAAAGGACGCATATCTGTATTCCCAGTCATGTGAAATCCAGAGATTAGGGCCTAATGAATTCATTTCAATTGACTGATTTCCTTATATGAACTGTAACTCAGTAAAATATTTGAAATTGTTGCATGTTACATATTTATTTTTTCAATGTACTTTTCGTTAATGCAGTCTTTAGTGTACTTATCAATGCACAATCACCTTTTTTCCCACTACTATCAATATATTTTTATTATTAATACATTGCGCGTTGTCTTCCTCAAATGAAGGGGATGATGATGCAATCTTTGCAAGATGGAGGAAATCTGATTTCATTGGTTTTCAACTCGGAGCAGGTTAGTTCTGAAGGATTTGTTGCCATATAAATGTACCTGGCTAAAAGGTGAACCACTTTCGTATGACCGGTTATCCTGAGTTGAACTTAGTTGACCAAAGTTACCTCTAACTCCTCAAACCTGCTTCGTAGGATACCCCTCTGGCGAGAAAACGTCTGTGTGCTATTCAGAACAGTAGAGGAAGCTGAAATGAATGAAGTCTGAGGTCTCGTTGACTGTAACACTAGCCAAATAGCTATTGATATCCAAGCCAATATGTTTTCGAAATCCCAAACTCCAGAGTTGACTTTACTATCATTCGCTAACATTTTCGTATCCGTTTTTCCATGGGCTACTAGCTTTCACGGAGAGAGGCTATTCACTCGGTATTCTCAGTATTCACACTTTAACCTTACTCGACTGACCAGCTGATATGCGGCCGTATCTCTTCACTCCTCCAGCAGTTTCCCCTCTTTACTGGTGTGCTGCTGCTTCTCCAGGTGATCTTCAACTTTCGTACAGCCTCTCCTCTCTCTGTAGAAGCGCCTGCTCTCCTCTGAATAGGTCACTGCCAACCAAGGCAGTCTGTGGATGGCTGGAAGGCCAGGTGAATGCTGGTAGCCCAAACTGAAAACGTGATATGGTGGAAAAGGGGAGTTAAGAGCAGATTCCAGATCAGGAGCCATATGCATCATGCATCTCAGTATAGGAGTTTATGATATAGGAACAGTTTTGTCTTTTAGATCACAATGAACACGATTACATAGACCGGAGGGACCTGTCACCTACCTGGCATACATATCAAGCGCCTACTCTGAGATGCTTGATAAGTACGGCCCTAGGTATTGTTGATTTTCTACTCTGTGATGTAACCTACTCACTTCAGAAAAGGGCCTGGTTAGATAATAGTGTTTTCATACATTAATTCAGAAGTACCACTGCAGCTAATTATGGTATGGAGTCGGCTGCTTGTATTGCATTATGTAACCAAAAGCTCTCAACATAAAATAAATACCAGAAGACTGACTAACCAATCAATAATATTCAACTGTCTTGTCTTTTTTTATTCCCTGATGTTTAGGCTGAAATGCTATTTTTTGTAACTTATTAGACACTGCATTCAGAATGTGACAGCAGTACATCACATGTTGACCAAGAATCCCCCCAAAAACATTGTCAGTATTTACTATGGATCAGATTTGAGATTGTACAACTCATGTATGGAAAAAAAAAAAATGCTTCATAGACTGGACGGTCAAAGTAGACTGTTTATGACCATAGTGAGTAAAACAAGTGTTGTTTCTGACCTACCACAGGTAATAGCCAGTCTGAATTTTCCCTGACCATGTGACCGGACCAGGAAAAACTCTGGGCCCTAGTAATGTGTTAAACTCCAGGCCCTAGTGAGAAGCTATAACTACAGCAGTGGTATTCAACCAGGGGTCTGCGGACCCCTAGAGGTACTGCAGGGGGTCCGCAAAAGAAATAAAGTGGAAAGTGTTTCGTTTTATTTCATTGTTATGAATATCTCTAGCAACAACCAAATAAATACATTTTGAATTACATACCTAGAGTAGAAAATATGATAATATTTTCTTAATAATGTCAACTTTATTTCTCAACTCCTAATATTGAGGAAATTGCACTCATTGGAGCCATCTGACATAGGCTTTGAAAAAGCACCCGTGAATAGGCTACCAGTGCCGGAAAGTGCCGCTGGCTGCTGGTAAGCTTTTTGACTTGGACATACAGTACATGTTTGTTTAACCAGCAAAACATTTGGAGTTACCTTTCTAATAGGCTTTGAAAGAGTTTACACTTCGTCTTCCAATTATAATGTAGGGAGGTCAAATAATGAAAAACTATCTACCAAATCTGTGGACAAGATGTGGATTTTTCTTTTTTGCTAACGTACGATGGGGGTCACTGGGATTGGGTTTGCCTGGGAGGGGGTCTCTGGGCAAGAAAAGGTTGAAGACCCCTGGACTGGGGATGGGCTAGACTTTTTCCTGGTCCAGTCACATGGTCAGGAAAAACATCTGGCCCCAATTATAGCCTGTGATGAAGTAATTGCCAATATTTCGCTAATGTCTGCATTATTTTGCGTCATGATGATACACAACAAATCAGTTTGGGAACTGTTTAATTAAACTTCAAAAGAGTGACTAATGAACGCTTTACAACAATTGCGTATTTCCAATGTTTCTAATTCAGTGTACATGAAAAAAATGTATGTTCAACTGTTATGATCCCCAGTGATTTTTGTTGTTGTTGAGACGCACACAACTGCATTTCCACAGGCAGCCCAATTCTGATATTCTTTCCACTAATTGGTATTTTGACCAATCACATCAGATCTTTTCACATCAACTCTTTTTCAGAGCTGATCTGATCGGTCAAAAGACCAAGTAGTGAAAAAAATATCAGAATTGGGCTGCCAGTGTAAACGCAGCCCACGAAACAACGTTTCGATCCCACAGTGGAAACATTATTTTAGAAGCACAGCTCCTAGTGTTTTCTGGACATAACTGTTAATATACCATTCATTATATCGTTAAAGAGGATGTCCATT